GGAGAAAAAAAGGTCTGGAAGAAAAAACTACTCAATAATTTTATTTATATTTAAATCATTTGCTGGAGTTTTATATTAATATTAATATTATTATTTTTATTTTACTTTAAAAAATACAAAAACTTTTAAGTAATAGGCCTATGTAATAAAGGCAAAAACCTTTAGCCCCATTAAGATGAGATTTTTTGTTGTTGGAATCAGTAGGCCTAGTCGTGTCTGAAAAACACGAACTGAGAATTTAAAAAAAAAACAACGAAAACAAACCATGTGTTAGGAATACACCAGATATGGCGCCGTCATCGAAGAGAATGCAAAACGGCTAGAGCAGGCCTTTCTAAACAGTGGCGTAGGCAGGGGGGTCATAACCCCCCCCCCCCCCATAGACTCGGTATATATATATATATATATATATATATATATATATATATATATATATATATATATATATATATATAATATATATATATATATATATATATATATATATATATATATATATATATATATATATAAAGTATGAGGGGGGTGCAAATCGAAAGTTTGAGGGCGGGGGGGGGTGCAACAAATTGGAAACCCCCCTAGGGTTGCCAGGTGTCCAGTTTTCTCTACAAGCTCCCTAATAAAAGTCAATAGTATTAGAAACTGTAAGAAAATCACGGCGCCCCACGTTTTTGATCGCTTATAGTAGAGTGATCGCTTGCATTATTGTGATGTATAACATTTATTTTCTACTTTTTTAGTTCAATCAGAAAACGTGGGTTTTTAAAAACTTTTTTAATGATTATTATTTTCTACTTTTTAGTCTTTGTCTGTTTGTTTGCATTAAAATCTGGTAAAAGTTGTATAGCATTAAAGTCTCGTAAAAAGACAACTCGTAAAAAACACGTTGTGTGAATACGTTACTGACTAGAACCGCGCCGAGTGGGATAGCAATCGTGTGCCCAACCACTCGACCATATCGTCTCCCCCATACTGGCCACCAGTTGTTACGTTCTGGTTGTTTGTACACAAACACTGCGTGAACACTAGTCAGTAAGCAAAAAGAGGGAGAGTCCCGAACCTTGTTTTCATCAAATTACAGTTACTGGGTTATGTCCCTTTTCCCCCATGTTTTTGTACAATTATATAGCGGCCTAAAATGATCAATAAAATGTTTCCATGGATCAATTTAGTAATAATAACAATTGAATATTCTATGGTCATCGGAAACAAAGCTTCCCTGAAAATTTCAGCGCGCTAGCTAACCGGGAAGTGCCCGAAATTTCGATCGCAAGATTTGATTGGAGAACCAAACAGACGCGAAAGCAAGTTAAAGAAAACGTGGGAAAAATGTTACATGACTCGAAAAGGGTACAGTCTGTTTTTGTTACGAATGAAAATTTTATGTTGTAAATTATGTAAATGATCCTTAATTCTCCAGGTCGTGTGATAAAAGAACATATTTACGCCAAAGAGACACAGATCCCGTGGCCAGTTGATGTTTTGTGGGGGAAAAAAATGAGTTTACGGTAAACACTCGGAATAACTTACGTCTGCTGGCGAAAAATGAAAGGCGATATTAATATACAGGCTATCCATAATTTAAAACTGAAGCTGATTATACAATATGAATAACCCTACAACTATATTTTTTCGGGAATGTTTTTTTTTAATGGAGGGGTAAGCCCCGAAAAATTGTCCGTTTAAGTCTAGGGCTCATGTGTTTAACCGAAGCCCACTCGGGCTCAATTTTCAATGTTGTGACAGGTGCTTTTGAAGGTGGGGGGGGGGGGGGGGGGGGGGCTATTTATTAGATCTCTACGTCTAAATATGGGGTCATCCATAAATGACGTCACGCTTTTTAAAACGATTTTCACCCCCCTCCCCTCCGTCACACAGCGTCACAAAAAGCCAGACCCCCTCCCTAAAATGACGTCACACCTCAGCATACAACCCCCTCAAAATCGTAGTAGATTTTTTCTTAAAAAACGGTATTTTACCCAAATCTTATCTGAATTAAATCAGTTTTCTAAAACGCGAAATAACGGCTAAAATTCGTTTTCTAACACTACTTTTAAAAATGCAAAAGTGTGACGTCACACCATCTGAACACCCTCCTCATAACACACCGTCTCAAAATTACGGACCCCCTATTCCCCCCCCCCCCCCCCCTAAGAGTGTGACGTCATTTATGGACGACCCTTATGGCTACGTCCAAATCAAACATCTTTATTAGAAAACAAGACAAATGTCGAATGTGATTTTGAAGACTCCTAACATGGGCTACTAATGATTTTGGACTCTTGTCGATTTATCGAACTTGGCACACAAACAACGCATTTACTTACACTCGTGCTTTGTGTTATCTAAGATATAGGACAAGGGGAAGGTCAAAGAGAAAAAGGTTCAACCAATGGGAAGAAGTGATTCGGTTACACCCCTCACACACCTACGACCAGCTGCTGCTAAACAGCCTTGGGATATTTTTAGATTGTTTATAGTTCTGTGCAATAACAAAGTTGCTGCGAAGATGCTAGACTGGATGAACACAAATAGTTGTAATAGTCTGAAGGCCTGGCTCGAAAATCCCGACATAAACAGTGGCCTAGAGTACACACATTGGCCCATAACACACATAAACTGGCTTAGAGCATACACACACACTTGGCTACAGCACACACACACACACACACACAAACTGGCCTAGAGCACACACACACACAATGGCCTACAGCACACACACACTGGCCTAGAGCACACACACACACACTGGCCTAGAGCACAACCACACTGGCATAGAGCACACACACACACACACACACACACACTGGCCTACGGCACACACACACACACTGGCCTAGAGCACACACTCTGGCCTAGAACACACACGCACACACACTGGCCTAGAGCACACCCACACTGGCCTAGAGCACACACACACTGGCATAGAGCACACACACACTGGCATAGAGCACACGCACACACACTGGCCTAGAGCACACACACACACTGGCATAGAGCATACACACACTGGCATAGAGCACACACACACACTGGCATAGAGCACACACACACACACACTGGCATAGACCATACACACACACTGGCCTAAAGCACACACACACTGGCCTAGAACACACACACACACTGCCCTAGAGCACACACACACTGCCCTAGAGCACACACACACTGGCCTAGAGCACACACACACATACACTGGCCTAGAGCACACACACACACTGGCCTATAGCACACAAACACACTGGCCTAGAGCACATACACACTGCCCTAGAACACACACACACACTGGCCTAGAGCACACACACACTGCCCTAGAACACACACACACTGGCCTAGAGCACACACACACTGGCCTAGAGCACACACACACACTGGCCTAGAGCACACACACACTGGCCTAGAGCACAAATACACACACTGGCCTAGAGCACACACACACTGGCCTAGAGCACACACACACTGGCCTAGAGCACACAAACACACACACACAGGCCAAGAGCACACACACACTGGCCTAGAGCACACAAACACACACACACAGGCCAAGAGCACACACACACTGGCCTAAAGCACACAAACACACACACACAGGCCTAGAGCACACACACACTGTTCTAAACCATACACACACTAGCCTAGAGCACACACATTGCCCCTAACACACATACACTGACCTTCTGCATACACACACACACACTTGGCTACAGCACACACAAATACACACACTGGCCTAGAGCACATACATGTCTAAATACACACACTAACCTACAATAACACACATAGCACGCACAGTGACCTACAGCAAACACACTGGCCTTAATTACACACATCCCCCCTCCCCCCGAACTACTACATACATACACAATGGCCTACAGCACACACACACACACACACACACATAAAGACACTCACGCATATTGACCCAAAACAAACAATTTAAAGGCCTACAGCACATACACGCACTGGCCAATATCACATACAAACACACTGGCCTATAGCCTATAGGTACACTACGAATATCACATACATATCGGCCTATATCACACACACACTGGCCTATAAAACATAAATACACAGGCCAATGTCACATTACACACTGGCCCAAATAAGATACATACACGCCAGCTTCAGTGTTTCTTCCAGACTTTTTTCTCCGGGGGGGGGGGGGGGGGGGTAGACTTTCTTTGGGGGGGGGGGGGGGGGGCGGACACTGTTAAAAGTTTATATTTTCTATATAAATTATATAAATTTCATTTCGTTGGGGGGGGGGGGGCGGTAGATTGTTTTCGGGGGGGGGGAGGCGAATGGAAGAACTCTGGCCAACCTTCATCATACACACTGCCCCCCCCCCATCGGAAGTTTAAAGTGCACCCCCCCCCCCCCCCTCATCCCACTCGTAGAAAAGAAATACTGGTTATCTACACTTTTAAGACTCCTCCCGATAAGGGATGTGAGTGGGGTGACACTTAGATGAAAAATTGCTAATTACTGAGAAAACAATGTTACTTAGCGATTAAAATGTAGTGAGGAAAGGAGGGGGGGGGGTCTAGAAATGGTAAAGGACCTAATGCATATGACCAAAATGTGTGCACGATTCTTTATTCAAATTAACTACAGCGGTTAATATGGAAAGTGGAATTTCAGTGCATCTGATTCTGAATTAAGAAAGGGTACGTGGTCACGCCGATTCTATTAAAATCATGCTACTTTAACGTTTATTTCTTAATAAGCCCGCATCTAATAATTTTATATTGAAATATAATATTGTGAGATGCATGAATCCAGCATAGACATCCTATTATTTTTTCTTATCGATTATCAATTGAACTCAGATCAAAATATTAATTAATTTCGAAAATGTGCCATGTAAATGTCCAAGAATGGTCATTATTTTATTAATTAGTTAATAATAAAGATTTATTTGTCGAAAAGAACATAGCTTCACTACTGGAAAATTAGAATGCATTTATAATTACCTCCCCTAGTTCTCAAGTATTTTCTAAACAGACAGCTCAACGCTGCGCGAAATTCAAAGAAAGCAAATCAACTGTTTTGCCTATTCGTCATAGTATATGTACTAAATGACACACATACTATCTGTTATGGATCTAGATCTAGTTCTAGATTACAATAGATCTACTATCTAGATCTAGACCTAGTAGTAATATCAAAAAGATGTCGATAAAAAAAAGTCAAAGGAATTTGGTTTTTTAGTTACTGTGTCACGCATAGCCGCATAATTTTCAATTTGTAAGTTAATTAAAAATTTTAGTTCTTCTTCGTTCTAAATTTTTAGTGTTGTAAGGGGTCGAGCCTTATCTGCCAGAGGGTTAAAATCGAGACTTTTTCGAATTTATCACCCATGAGCTTTTGCCACTCGATCATGTTTCCATCACAGGATACGTACTGTCAACTGGTTATGCGCCATTGAGGGCTTGCTGCCATTGACTCCGATTTCAGCCTGCTTTTCTTTTTGGAATTGCTTCCATAGCCTTTGTTCAACCAAGAACAAACTACAAGGCAACAGTTGTTTGATTTTGGAGTTGTCTCTCCTAGAAGAGTTGCTGTCCCCAGCTAACGAGCCTCATCTGCCCGAGGGTCCGAACTCGAGACTTATGGTTTAGCAACCATGAGATTTACCGACTCGACCACGCCGACCCCAAAATTTTAGTTAATAGAATAGATCTATCTAAATCTAGAGAGTATTCTAGAGTTAAGTTAAACAGACAGAGTTAAACTACTACTACTAACGGACTAACGTAACTAGATTTAGATCACTAGATCTAATCTAGACTAGTCTAGATTTAGCTAGAATAGTTAACTTTAGTTAAGAGTAAGACTAAGAACAGGCCTAATAATTAATAAACTTAAAGAAATTAAAAATTACTATTTGACAATTTACCAATTAGAATCTAAGACTCTAGGTCAAATCTTCTTAACTCTTAAGACTTAAAAGTTAAGTCTTACGACTTAAGTTAAGTTGGCTAGGCCTACTTAAAATATTTAAAAATAATATTAATAGCCTAATAAATTAAAATAGATAAATAAATCTAGATTCTTGTCAATTTTATGGTAAAAATTTAGAGAAAACCCTTGAGATTTCATATTATCGCGGCTGACTGAAAGTAGATTGTATTATTGTTTTGAGTTTATATTAACTCAATGCAACAAGCCAGCCGGTTAGTTGAGGCCACGCAGGGGGAGCGATCTGTCCTGGATTCAGGGTCGATTCTAAATATCATCCAATTTTACTTTAGATTCTACTCTGATCTAGATTCTAGATATCTAGACTGATGATATGATCACTTTAAATTCAATTTTAGGACTAAGTCTTGTTGTTTGGGGGACAAAGTGGGAGACAACAGACCCATGAATTTCACTTGTTGGGGTCAGCCAAACTGCTAAGAAAAACCCCGAAGTCAAACAATTGCTGCCCTACACTACAGCTTGTTCACAATTTGTAGAAAACTATCAAAATTTCACTTTTAAATATTGTTGACTAAAACTAAAAGACAGAGAAATGTGACTATTGGTTGTAACACATCTATTGTTTGTAACTTCACAAAGTACTTCACAGATGTGTAAATATGGTTGTGTGATCGCTTTAACCTGAAGCCTCAGCTATTCAACTTGGTCTCAAATGTTTATTATTAAGTTTTACTACTAATGTCTCACCTACTATTCTGGATTCTACAGGAGTGTCACAGTTCTTTTTTACCTTCAAAAATGCCTTTATGATTAGCCTACTAGATCATGCACTCACCTGTCTAAACACATTTGCACTTGCTAACCCTTGAAATTGAACCAGCATATTATTTCATTTACCCATTAATGTACACATACTTTCCACAAAATCACTACATATTATTTACATTAAATAAATCATTTATGTAGGCCTACAAATGACATAAATTCAAAAATGTTTAATGCTTCTATTATTATTATTCATTGTTTGTGAAAGCTAGGCCTATATTTTTTATATATAATATAGATCTTATTTTTAATTTCTAAACAGATTATATTAAATACCCAAAATGGATACAGACCAAATATTAGCCCTTCAAAATGCTCTCCCTTCTACTGACGGACTAGATGGAAAAGATTTTAATGTTTATCATGTAGAAGTTTTACAGAGTCCTTGCAGGTAGGGAATGTTCACATTTTGGTACTACTTTTTTAAATACAAATTTGATTCAACCAGTGTGTTGTAAAATTCAACTCAAACGTTAAGCATATTTTTAAGCCATATACCTTCCTATTTGTATAATACTAATTCTACTCTAGTACTATGATTGTCAGCAGAGTATTACCATGTATTACTTGACCATGTAAAAAAAAAATTATGTGTGGCTTAATTTTATTAATTTTATTATGAATGTCCAGCACTGTCAGACGGATTCAAATACAAGAAAAAGTAATTGAATTTCTGAGAGCCAAGAAAACAGCCTTTGGTGACTTGCTGCTCGAAGAATTCCAGGATCCATTTTTATCTCAGAACATTCAATACATAGCTCTCTGTGATGTGGAACTTCCAGGGGTTGAAAAAAAGGTCAGAACTTAATGTTTATATTATACTAGTTTTTGTCATTCAACATTACATTATATTGTAAAGAAGCACTGAACTTTGTGTTTAAAACTTTGTTTTTAAAAAAAAATGTAAACCAGGTGATAGACCTGTCTACATGTAGCCTTCAAGTACATGTGTTCCAACTGAATACAGATGGGGCAGGCTCTGAGGAGCTGGATGAAGAGAACATGTCTGCAGCCAATCACTGGCTGTTGCCAGCTTCAGACTTCCATGGACTGTGGGACAGTCTGGTCTTTGATGACTCCATCAAACTAAGGGTAAAATTTTTAGTTCACAGCGTTAACGCTCAAAGCTAATTACATTACTTGTTGGTAAAATTTCACTTGCTACATGTATTTTCATATTTGTAAAGAAATTCTTTAATTTAAAAAAAATAATTATTGCACATTTTTCATCCACATTTGTTTATTTTTAACACCATTTTTTAATTTGACTTTCTGTTATGTCTGGATAGAATCTTTCAGTCATTTTTTTGTACCCATTTCTTATGAAGAAATGGTTGGTTTCACAATTTGCTCATAAGAATATCCCAGATAACAAAAAAAATTATCCATAGACTATTGCATGTGTGATTAATCTTTTTTTTTTGTTAGTTGAAAATTGCAGGAGCTTATAAAACATTTTAGAGATTAATTCTTTTGCTATTCCAGCTAATGTAAATTAATATTAATTTGATTATTTTTAGTGCATTTTACATGACTAAATACAAGACTTTCTTCTTGTACATTATGTATTTGTATTTTCTATTGATTTATTTACTATATATAACTAAGTCACATTTTTCATTTTGCATCTTCAGTTATTAAATTATGCTTCCACCACCATGATGTTCTCTGAGAAACTTGTTGATAGCAACCTAATTACATGGAACAAAGTTGTTCTATTACATGGTAAGTAAAATTCATATTTATTAATATTCACATCAATGATAAGAAGAGCTTGTTGAGCAGTTGTAATGGCTGAAAATTATGTTTTTTTTTTGTTTTTTATATGGAATGAAAATTAAACATATTTTAATATTTTTTGGGGACAAAAGTGTGTCCTTTTCATATAGCCCAGTGGCTGAGAATGTTATTAGTGATGAAAGGGAGATTATCACTTTTTTGGACTGTTGAAATTGTTTTATTTAGACATCTGTCTGTGGAGCAGATACTGTTCTTCTGTTTCCATGTCATGGTCTATTTTTGTTGGGCATGATGCATTGTCATCACACTTTTGACATCTTAACTTTGGTTTTATTTTTCATCCATCTTATGTATTTTATGAAATTAATTGTCAAATCAGATGTCTATTTTTTAAGGCTTTTTATGGTTAGCTGTTGTGATCCTGACATAAATATTTCTTATAAAAAAAAGCATGGGGTCTTAGTTCTGTGCTATTTTATCTCATTACAAACAATAATGAATTAAAAGCTTGATCATATTTCTCTATATTTATTATCTATAGTACTATTTTTCCCCATTATTCTAGACAGCATTTAATTTACAAAAACCTGATCATATTTCTGTTGTTTGAATAGGACTTTTTTTTTTATCCCACTCTACTAAAACTGCCTAACAAACCTGTGAAAATATTTCTGTTTTTTCTAGGTCCTCCAGGCACAGGTAAAACATCCCTGTGTAAAGCTCTAGCACAGAAGCTGTGTATACGTTTTTCTGACAAGTACACACATGGCCAGCTTGTAGAGATCAATAGCCATAGCCTGTTTTCAAAATGGTTTTCAGAGGTATGCATATTTTATTTCATTAACTTCTGTTTTCTGAATGATTTTTACTAACTATTAAAAATGCAAGTTATTAAAAAAAAATGAATAAACCCTGTTCACTGCAAGTTTGTACATTTTTTTGACCTCTTACATAACTTGCAGAGTGGGAAACTTGTTATGAAAATGTTTCGTATGATCCAAGATTTGATTGAAGATCCTGAAGCGCTGGTGTGTGTCCTTATTGATGAAGTAAGATAAACATTTTCACTATGTTAAAAATGTATCACGTCATATAGAATAATATCATTACTGATGTGTGTATAAAAATGTTTCTGATATTTGATTTCAGGTGGAGAGTTTAACTGCAGCTAGGAAGAGTGCAATGAATGGGGTGGAGCCATCTGATGCAATAAGGGTTGTTAATGCATTGTTAACACAACTGGATCACATTAAAAAGTAAGAAACTTTTCCTTCTTGGTTTATATAAATTGAAAGTTGCATCACTTATTCACTATTTATCTAGCACAAATATGATTTTTAGTTTTTTTATTTGTTTTGCTTGCTTTATTTTTTAAGCTTCAAAATTTTATTGAACTGGTAGTTACTTTACTATTATTATAATATAATATTACTAAACTAATTACTAAAACTAATATAATACAAATCAAATTTTTGGAAGATAGTGATAGTTTGTAATAAAATAATTAACTGATTAGTGTTTATCCTCTTCAGATACCCCAATGTGTTGATTTTAACCACTTCAAACATCACTGGTGCCATAGACCTGGCATTTGTGGACAGAGCTGATATAAAGCAGTATATTGGTCCCCCAACAGTCAAAGCCATCTACACTATATATCATTCCTGTCTAAAAGAACTGATGAAGGTTGGCTTGCATTCTCCTTCTAACAGTTTATATTTAGTTCTAACACATTTTTACTGTGCTAATTTATTATTTTCTCTCATACCATATGGTTTTAAAACTTGAGGAACACCACTGAAGCAGTAAAAAAAAATTATTTTTTGGACAAGAAGGTTAATATTTTTTTCCTGTGAAAGCATCATGCTTTAACAACTACCTTCAGCTGGTCTTTTGTACAAGTCCACCCAGCTGCAGCTAAGTCACTTGCACTTGGTTTTATTCTATAGAGAAATCTACTTGTCATTTAAACAGCCCATTAGTATGATGTTCCGAATTTATGCATGAATCCCATTAGAAATTTCTCAATACTTTTTTAGGACAGGTCTCTTTTTAGCTTTTACAAATCTTTTTAAAACACAAGAACAAATAACATACAATAAAATCCTATCTGGTATTGTCAATACAGCTTAAGACCAGAACCAATGGTAAGTTCACTGATGTAATAATGAATACATTAAATCCTTAAGAATGTGTTGATCTCTGACAAATATTTGTGGCTGCTCTTTAGTGCGGAGTGATCAGTCCAGTCCACCAGCTGATTGATATCAGAGCCCTGGAAGTGACAAGGTTCATAGAGAACGGTGCCACCTTCCACAGCTTAAAGTTGTTTGATATTGCTAAGTAAGTTTCTCATAATTGTTTAATCCACTGATAGTGTTGCAGTTATCTTTTCTTCCCTAAAGTTACCATGAAATTTTATGTATTAATAAAGAAGCAATAGCTACCTAATTATTGACAGAGTTTTTTTTTAAGTTATTATTTTGTTAAAGGTTTTTAGATATTGAAATTAATAACCATGTTATTTCCTAAAAGAAAATACTAATACTATATCAATATAAGCATTTTCTGGCTGTAATTATTTTCCTTATTTGTAACAGGAAGAGCCAGGGACTAAGTGGTCGTAGTTTACGAAAGATTCCATTTCTGGCACATGCCCTTTATTTACAGGTCAGTTTTATTGTGCAACATGCTACCAGTGAATATAAAATTGGCCAAAAATCTATAACCATCTCCCAGCTAAATAAAATTGTTACCAAATCTAATTTACTGTTGCAGTAATGAAGTCAGTTATATGTAGATTAAACAAATATTAAGTTTAAAAAATGTATTATTTATTTTCTAGGGCAGCCCTGTTACTTTGGAGAACTACCTGGAAGCAATGTCATATACTGTAGACAGACAGTTTCAGGAACTCAATGATCTCGCCAAGTGCTGAATTGTTTACTTTCTATGTGCAATGGTAGCATCTGTGCATACTCTTACTAGTATTTCTAGTTAAAAATTGTATTATACACTTGCATAGAAAAGTGCCTTCAATTTCAAAGGGAAGAACTTGAAGTGAATGTTATTTGTGGACTCATTGTACTTTTCAAATTGTAAATACCCACAATAAAAAGTAACTTGTTTTAATTTTCAAAAGAAACAACTGTTTTAATGTGTCTGATATGTATATACTTTTTAGCTGAATATTAAGTAAAATACTAAGTATTTTATCTCCTGTGTTGAAATTGATTTTGCCATTGGTACTTTTTTTAAACTGATGAGATGCAAGAATTGCTATACACACAGCCTCAACTAGCTTGTGATCACAGCATACATACTTCAAGATTCCTAAAAGTTCTTAATAATCTGAGTTCAAAATTTGTATAGATCCGTGGAAATAATTTTACACTAAATAAACCTAACTAAATAAACCTATACGTTGAGTCTTTTGACACGTTGAGCCTTTTAACACGCCTTTAGTTCAGACGTGTACCAAATAAACATAAATATTGGTTTTAAAAATAAAGAAATAATTAAATTACAGAGAAAACTTTGTTTTAATATGTAGACACTTAGAAAAAATTTTAAAAATTAAAATACAGGAAATAACAGATTTCTCTGTGCCACATAAAAAAAAAATTCACAACGATTTTTTTGAGCTTATACACGTTATAATAGCATATAAGTGTCTGATAAAAATTATTGTTCTCAAAGCTGACATTTTTTAATCCAGTTATAGCCAATCTATCTTGGTGGTTTAACAAATCATTTTTAATAACTGACGTTTACAAACAATATAAAAACTTGTTAACTACAAAGATATAAATTATTGGATGCAAGAAAAGAAACAACTTATGTATAATGTGCGATACACTCAAATCATCAGCTTCCATATAAAAATGTTTGAACGTAAGACTGCATTGGGTTATCTGCCTATCAAATGATGTTAGCTTCTCAAGCTGAAGACCAGAGTTAAGAATTGTTCATATGATATCTGGATCCAGCCATCTTGGTCAGTATCATAGGCCCTGAAGGAACTGGTCAATGTCTGGAAAAAACAACCCCATACATTTTAATTTCAACCAAATATAAAGTTCCCTTTTCAAACCTGATGGTCTATAGGGCAATTGAAGTAGAGTTCACTCTTTGACCTCGGCATATGAAGGGATAGTGTGGTCAGCACTATGCCCAACCGCATTTACTTTCCTTAACGTGAGTTAGGTATCCATCAGAGTTGGATGTACTCAAGGGCGGTCTAGTGACTGAACTTGAGACTAACGGGTTAGCAACCCAGCTCTCTACTGCCAAACCACCCCGTCACACTAACCAAATATAAAGTGATTTCTAAATGTTTGTTAGAGTTTTAGTTTGACTATCACATATTCATTTACACGGATGAGTAAGCCCTAACTGGAAGGGGAATAAAAATTGTAAGAAAGCTGCTCAGTCCAAAATTAAAATTGATGACTAAAGCAGTATTTCTCTATACTAAAAAAACTGCATAAAATACATGACATGATAAAAAAAAGCCTTTACCTGCAAAACTACAGCGCACTGGACAAAATCATCAAAAGCTACTGTTCCTCTGCCCTGACGATCAAACTTTCTAATAAGAATGTCATAGAACTGATCCGATAAGCGATAGCCTGGAAGAAAGTAAACAGGAATGGACACATTTTAAAAATAAGGATGAAAACTTTCTAACAATTTTTTAATTTATGTCACTGATTTTCTGTTTTCAATGCAGTTCTGCTGCATTATTTTAAATAAATTATTTCCCTTACTCAGTGTAAATGCTGTAAACTTAGCAAGACAACCACTTTATACTGCAAAATTTTGTATGTTTGCTATAAAATGTTAAATATGCCAATTTACAAAATATATTGCAAAACTGACCGAAGTTTGTGAGAGCAGTCTTCAGCTCGTTCTTGTCAATGGACCCAGAGTTGTCTCTATCATAAGATCTGAATGTATTCTGCCAGTCAGTGACGTACTTCCAGAGGGATGAAAATTCTTGGAAGTTAATCGTCCCGGAATTATCTCGATCAAACATGCCTGAAAAAATAAAATGATGACAATTATGTTAAATGTTTTACACTAATTAATATTGTAATCAATGTTAAAACTATGTTGCAGTAAGGAAATTAGCTAACTAATGGAAAAACCTACCAATCATAAGCCGGACAGTTTCTGGGTTAAATGGAGTCCATGTTCCTGTAGATATAAAGTAACTTCATAAGAACACTAAACCTCAGTATAAAATATGTACAATTTACACTGACTAGCAGACTACTATTACTAATGAATGTGAAATGGATTAGCTAGATACCAATTTTAAATGACAATTTACAATGAATGTTAAATAAATGAACTAAAACCATTACACCTAACACATTAAAAAAACATCTAGTGACTGATGTAATTATGAGTACATATCAAAACAAAAAAAAACCATTGTGCCTTGATACATCTGAATTTTTTATATTTACTGTAAAACCTTACAATCTATTTCACACCAGCTTACCATTAGATAAAGCTCTTTGTAATTCATTAGCAGAAATAGAACCACTGCGATCTGTGTCAATTCTGCGAAGTTAATGTTAAAAGATTCAAAGCTCTGGCAAATTTTAAAATTCACCTTTCAGATCCATCAAGCCCAAAAGACAGTCACTTCGGTTTAATGACAAATGTATCAAAGGCACATGATTGTTGACAAAAAATAAAAATAATAATCTTAAATTGAACAGCTGATGATAAATATGTGGCTACTTTCTGGGCTTGCTGGAGGGGAAAAACTTGGGGCGAGTGAACATAATTTGGGTTTTTAGTATATTTGTTGAAGTCGTGTAATTTTATTCTTCAGACTTCATGACAAACCCAAGTTATGGTGGACCCTTGCCAAGCTTTTCAGTTGCATGCAATACCTATACTACTAGCTGTGCTCTCAGTGAATAAGGGAGGTGCAACATGGTAAAATTTTACTTACACTGTTTTAATTTCTGACTAGGTTACACAACAGAGTGAAAACTGGATATGAGACTATAGTAATGGAAAACTGTTATGGATAAGGGTGAGTTAATATAAAACATGAAAGTGTAAAACAGAAGTGACTAATGAACGCAATCAGTGTACAAGTTAAGGTCATGTCTTCAGGATAAAATATTAGATTTCAAGAAGATAAAAGCTTAAATATTGCTTTACTTTCTTTTATACTTATAGGATATTAGTAAATTGTTAATATTAGCCTAGTTGTTACAATTAAATAAAAAGCAAGAGTTAATAATAATTTACAAAATTAAAAAAATATATATATTTAAAAAAAACCAATTTGTTCAATGTACAATTTTCTGTTCAATGTACAATTTTCAAGAATAGAGAAATTTCAATTTCTTTTTTTTTGAAGAGAGAGCACAGCCAAAGCACTGTATTACACACCAGGTTAACCCATCCTTACCATTCCCCATAGCCTGTTGCAGCTCTGTAGCAGATATATGACCACTTCGATCCTTGTCAACACTAAAAAAATTTGAAATGATTGCAAGTAAAAAGTAGGAAATTTCATGCATGTTGAGAATAGTACTCAGGTGGACACGCAACATCATAGGTCATCTGCTAAACAATTCTTATATTTTTAAATTTCATTGTTGAATCTGGATTTACGCTGTAAATATGATAGAAGAAAGAATAACTACTAAATAGGTAGTTACAAGAATGCTTCACTGCAGCCAATTTGAAAAGGATCAGAATTCTGTAATGGTCAAAAGTGATTAACCCAGTTACCCATAATTCAGTCTTGCATATGGTTAAAAAGTGATGCACTTACCGTATAAAGACTAAAACAGCTTAAGGATTATTTTGCAAAAAAAAAAAAAAAAAAAGCATTATGTTTTTAGTTGTAAACTTCTAGCTAATTAATAGGGGAATGTATTGCAACAATAATCCAGGACCAAAGCTTTGATGAAAAATAAAAAACCACACTTGCTTAACTTGTTTTATTGTTTATCAGTTTATCTCTTTATTAACTATAAAATGTATAGGCCTAATTAATTTTAAATTCATCTTCATTTATAAGTCTAATTTATAAGGCCTTACTTTAAGCCATTCGGCCTAGAAGCACACAAGTTAGCCAGTTGCATTTTCAATAAGTGGTAGAGGGCTAAAACTAAATATTTTTGAAAGTATCAATTTTGCTAATTGCAACTGACTATAACTATTTAAGTTTGTTGATTCAGAATTGATGTACTTTTTACCTCATTTCTTTTTTATCTTGCAAGCGGTGCTTTAGTGAATATAGCTAATTAAATTTTAGTGTGCAAATGAAATAGCTCTTCAACATCGCTGAGATTTTTATATTTTCAACCAGCATATATGGATTTTATGTTTGAAAAGCCTTAATTTTATATACATGACAATGAAAGTAAAAAAGTAATGTGATGTGACGTGCAAAATATCACCACTCAAAAAAGCCATTTAATTATAATATTATTGTTGAAAATGAAGTGCTGAAAAATGTATGCTGTGCCAGAATTTAATCATTTATGTTGGGCTAGATTCGTGACTATTTTTGTCATGTCACAACATACCAAAAAATAGAATGCATTAAGTTCATTAAGCTTTCCTTGTTGATGATCAAAGCTTTCCTTGTTGATGATCGTTAGGCCCTATTATTATTAGTTATTTTTTTAAAACTGAAATTATGAATAAATAGTTAGCCCCTGGATGGCATATTTGTAACTTGGTATACTTGCCCTCTGTCAATATAAAAAGCATGGTATGCTTAATGCTTACAAATAGGCTTATTGTCATAAAACACAAAAATATAAAGTTCAAATTGGGATGTACCATTTCTTGATAATGATAATAATGTAAATGTAGATATTCTCGCTAAAATGTACTCAATTTTCAATTTAAGCATGACCACTGAATGATAGACATCCATATTTAAGCCATAAGGCACTAATTTTGAGGTTTTTAGTTCGTTTTAAACTAAATTACTTAATACGTTTTAAACTAAATTACTTAATACAATATTTATCGTCACTCACTGCCACGGCATGACACACCTTTAAATCACAACCATGCTATAAAACTCTTACATTTGAGGCCACAGCAAATCACGAATAGGTTCGACTTTTTAATTAGTTATGCAACAGAGTTCCTCACTAATGATCAACCAAATAGGCGTCGCATGGTTTAAAAAAAATAATTGGTTGTGATATGAGCACCGGTCTTATTAAAAAAAAAACAGCTCACAATATTCTTTTTTCATAGACTGATAAAACTATAAATGCTTCACCTATTCGCTCCTTTTTGTACCTACTCTGTTGATACTTTAGAAATGCTATTGATTTTAATGAAACTAGCCTTTAAATTTAGCTTTCATTCTCCAAACCAAATTTTAAAATGCTTACTGGCATATATATATAGCCCTGCCACCTATAGTTTGTTATTATAACACGAAAACCCACCATTTTGCTCATAGTAAACACTTTTAAAAGCAATTCTAAGAAGGTCACTGGAACTAAGATGAAAAATTGTTGGAAGTCATGTGATCGATGTGGATGCCATATTTGTGTTGTTAGCAACCGGTCTCGTCTCCAGGTTAGCGAACAATACTATAACAATGACTTTAAACAGAAGGTTAATGAAACTTAATGAAAAACTGCCTAACTCTACTCAGAACACTAGACTACTGTACTCAGTTTGGGTCTTAAATCTGGTGTAATGGCATACATTCAAACATTGTACTCTATTTCATTATTTTGCAATTAATTAATAAATGAGTTGATTATGAAGTAGGCCTAACTAATTTTTTAGTAATTTAATTTAAAATTTAGTTAGATTAGTCAATTGATTCAGCCTAATAGATATAAATTATCTAGCTCGAGATTTAATTAATAATTAGCCTGATAGTAGGCCTAATAATTATTTAAGGTGAAAATGAGGTAAGAAGATGACCTACCTTTGAAAAATACCAGAGAGCCAATTTTGGTCAATTCCTGGAGGTGGTGCCTGTTGGCCATAGGCATTTCCATAGCCGCCTTGCTGTCCATAACCGTACGACATTGTGATTTTTATGGAGATAACTTTTAAAGTAGAGCTGTAGCTTTACTTTTTAGAAATTTCCAGAAAAATCTAATAATAGTAAAGGGAATGATGATGATGCGATGATGTGTTGACAAATAATTTTCTTGGTAAATCCAAAATATCTTACTTCCGTATTTCTATTAAAATATCGGATGACAAATTAAATGTATAAATACATTTTCTTTTTTTTAGAAAATAGATGAAAGATAAGATTTATAGAATCTAGTTTTTAAAAGTATTGATACTTTTAACAAAATAAAAATTTCAACATTTTTGTCATTTCAAAAACTCAAATTAATTCTTAGAGGGGTAGTAATTAATTCTTAAGACTAACGTTAATCCCGTTAATGCAAAATTTAAAATTAAAGTTTTTAGAATATGTTACTATATGTAAACAATATGGCCGTTAAAATGGTTGTCCAATAACAATTAACATTGTTGATCGTTGTTATTCAATATTATATTACAATATTAACAATAAAAAAGCGCTTACTAGATCTACATACATACGGTATAACCACCAGCCTGCTTAAAAAAAAATTCTCCCCACTTTCTCATGTTTTGTTTCGATGTAGACTAACTTAAAATAAATGTATTGAAACATTGAACAATGAACAATGCTTAATTAAGACTTAAGACTTAAGTTAAAAGTTGGTTTCATTCATAATTAATTATTAATTCATTGTCGAATCATAATTCATATTTCATAATGATTTAAATTTAATTCATTAGTTAGATTGGTTAGAATTAGACCTCTAGATTTCTAGATCATACTAACTAGATTTTACTAGATGATATATCAACTTATCAACTTACTAGCCTACTAGAAAAAAATTACTTTTAAAATATAATTGTTTAACAGTTAACACAATACACATGATTTATAATTATAATAAAACTGTTAAATTAACATTCATTAACTTAAATGTTGTTGTGGTGACTGATGATCATTTCAGTTTCATTTGAAAATGAGTCATTAATTAATATTATTAATAATTTAAATTAGGGTCTAATATTTATCATTTACTTCTAGTTTACATAAATGTACACTGCACACTGGCAATCTGACCATAAGAGAAGTTTTTAGTTTACTTTAATTACTTTATTAGATTTAGTATGGTTATTGATCTTAAGTATTCTGGTATGATGTTCGAGAATAGGCAGCTCATGAAATTTCTACAGTGGGTTTCTTTTGCCAAAAAACTGTTAAAATAAATACTAGATCCATATAATTTTTACAGTGTTGAACAGTATTTTGAACTATTTTGAGTACCTGTGAATTTATAAATTATACACCTAGACTTTATTACACTATAAATAGTAAACAGCACATAACATAATCATTTCCAGGCCTAGCATTTACCTTTAGAGATGGGCCTACAAATTACCTTTTTCTTTTTTTTTTACAAAATGCACAATACAGGCTATAGGTTTATAGTTGTATAAATATTGGGGCATTATTATTTTTAAAAAATCATTTTCTTAACTTCTTTTAATGAAGCTTGTTATTATAAATTTAACTTTTTAATATAGGCTCTATTCATTATTAAAAACATATGACTTAAAAAAAAAACTGTTTCAAATTTATAATGTTTCTTTTCTCTAGAACAAGAACAAAAAATGAATCAAGAAAACCCTGTCTTTTTTGTGTCTGGCCTTGGATCAAAACTCAATTCTGATAATGAAGCTTTAGCTAAAAATGCACTGCTCAGTCTGAAGCAAGAACTTTTACACTATCAGCAAGAAAATAAAAAAATGACTGATCAATTGAACTGTCTTGTTTCACTGATTAAAAGGTAAGCCCCTTATTTATTATTCCATTTGTATGCGTTGTAGCAAAAATGATAGCAAAATGTAATATTTAATGTTAAGGGGATATGCGCGGACAAAAATCACAAAATTTCTTGTTTTTCGTCATGATGGGTTTCTTGCACTTTTGGATACTTTGTCCATTTGTGTATATAGAAAATAATAACTTTAAAGAGAAAAAAAATATTTTATGTGTTTGAATTACGATTTTTATGACCCTATTAATTAAAAAATAATCAATTTTTCCCAATCTTACAAGCTCTGTATGAAAAGTTTTATATCCGTCATTATATTGTATTTGACATCATTGGAAAGCTGGATTTCTCATGTATTTAATAAACTTAATTTCCTACATCTCGGAAACACACAAAGCTTACAATCGGCTTTGCAGTTTACACAGATATGGTACTTTCCTGACCTAGTTTTCATTACTTTTGGCTGTTTTTCTCAGTTTGCAGGTTTTTAACACTAAAAAGCCTACTACTTTTTTATTTATTAAACAATGCCAACCATATTTTCAGTAAATGTTCTTGATGCGAAAATACAACTTTTGTCACGAGGGAATTGTGATTGCTTTCATAGAAAAAAAGTATTTGGTAATTAATATGCACATTTTGAAACTTTTGAATACTAAAAAGGGTACAATGTTTTAGACCTTGTAAAATTCTTACTAGTGATTATTTCAAAAAGTTGTCATGACAAAAGTTTTAATATATACTGAAATATAAGCAGTTTAAATTTGATTGCTATAGGTGCATAAATAAAAAAGCCTTAGCATTTTTAAAAGTACCAAAAAATTCAAAATGGCGGAGGTTTTTTGGTTTCCATGACAACCAAAATTGTTTTTGACCCTTTTTTTTTGCTGTTTAATACTTACTTTTATATGCCAAATATGATTAAAGTATTCAAAAGGCTTTAGATCTTAAACTGTAAAAAATAGAAAAAAACATAGCATATCCCCTTAAGAAATATTAAAAAGCTATCGTAAAATAAGTTCTCACAAGCCCATTGTTTGATAAAAAACCCAATAACAACCAACACCCACAATAAAGTTCCACTAGAGTTTATAGATGACCATCTTCTGATAAAAATTGAGAAAGTAAAGAAGTTACTGCAATTTCATGTTATGTCATGGCCCTTCTTGTATTTTCTAAAAAGAACTAACACACATTCTTGGTGTTGCTTATTTAAAAAGGAATGCATGTCTTAAAATAGCAATCCTTTATAAAAACAAATATTGATAATCCCAATGAACTTGTAATTTCAGATCCTGGACAGGTGATCGATTAGCTACAGTTCATCTCTCAAAAATTGTTGGTTGGTACATAGTTTTATATCACGCATAAAGAATGAGGTTTAAAATTCTTTATACATATAATTTTTTTTTTAAATCATGAAAACAAATCATATGTACAATTTGTGGGTGCTTTTTTTTCTAGGTATGCTCACTTTCAGGGTGTCACGTTAATTTAAATTTGTTATGGTTTGTTTTTCTAATGCTTTAACCACACTGCTATGTGCTGAAAAATCCTTTGCAATTGTATTTGATTATCCTCACAGTTTCATTTTAAAAATACTATATTTAAAAAACAAAATACTCATTATATCACAGCCATCATTTTTATTTCTATTTTCTTTTTTAAACAGTAAGTTTTTAGCTTAATGGTATATTGAAATGATGTTTCGACAGGCTTGCCACCTCCACCTGTTGCAAATACAGAAGGCAATGTCGCTCGACCAAATTCTACAGTAGATTTTGCTTCGTCAAAGAAAGTAAATGTTCTAAATAAAGACTTAAAAATATATAACTATTGCACCTCTGCTTCTTCGTTAAGGTTGAGAATTATATTTCCCTTGAAAAAGAAATGAAAACAGCTTTATTTATTTTTCAGTGATTGAAGCTTACAACATCAGCTTTTTCTAAACACAATAGGTTACTAATTTATATTTTAAAATACATTCCTAATCAATTTATTTATGTATTTTAAGATACGTTGCGAGCAGAACTGGGAAAGGTTGGCCATTAAACTCCTGGACAGGGAGTATATGAGTGTCCAGAAAGAAATCAGTGACCACCAGCAGAGGTACATGGAGAACAGAAAATATTACATGGAGGCGATCTTACAGGACCATCATAACAACATGGCGCACATCTCACTGCATCGTAAAACAGAACCTACAGCAGAGGAAATGGGGAAAATGAAGGTCCCACAAACTAAAGTATGTCATTTTTAAATGGCAGTAATTGTATTTAGGGAATATTTCTTTTTATAAGAGAATGAATGTGTAGAATTAGCTTACTTTTGTATTATTTTCTCATTCTTCATTTACAACACTTGTCATCAGATCTTAGTAAGTTCTTAAATCTTCTTCTTCGTTCTTAATTTTTAATGTTGGATGGGATCGAGCCTTAGCTGCCAGAGGGTTTGAACTCGAGACTTTTTCGAATTTATCAACCATGAGCTTTTGTCGACTCGACCATGCCTCCATCAGAATTAAGGATACGTGTCAACTAGTTATGCGCCATTGAGGCCATTGACTCCGATTTCAGCCTGCTTTTCTTTTTGGATTTGCTTCCATAGCCTTTGTCCAACCAAGAACAAACTACAAGGCAGCAGTTGTTTGACTTTGGAGTTGTCTCTCCTAGAAGAGTGGCTGTACCCAGCTAACGAGCCTCATCTGCCCGAGGGTTCGAACTCGAGACTTTTCGGTTGAGCAACAATGATCTTTACCGTCCCCCTAGTTCTTAAATGAAGAATTAAAACTTTACAGGCCTTTCTTTTACTGTTTTTTCCAACTTTTTCATTTTAGTTTTCATTCTTTTACACATATCCATACCATGTGTGATTCTATTACATTATAAAAAAAAATATTAAAAAAAAAATAGAATCCACCATTACCTTATCTAATAAGAACCTTTTTGCCTTGTCTTGAAGACACAGAGGGGCAGTTTGAGAAGAACCCAATCAGCTGGGAGCAGAAAATTTCTGATGGCCCAGGACACTGTGGGTCAGGTGGAGGTGTCACTGAGGGATTTGGTTGGCCAACCTGTCATGGCGGACAGTGTTGTCACAGATCAGATGGTAGGTTGTCTGTTTGATGGTAGCTAACACCATGTTCTATGGTGGTAAGACAAGCCTGTATGATGGTATGTAGGACCATATATTGTATGATGGTTTGTTAGACCATATCTTGTATAATGGTATGTAGGGCCATATCTTTTATGATGGTTTCTTAGACCATATCTTTTATGATGGTATGTCGGACTATGTCTAGTATGATGGTATGTAGGACCATTCTTGTATGAGTGTTAGACTATATCTTGTATGATGGCATGCAGGATCATATGTTGTTTGATGGTAGGTAGGATCTTGTCATGCATGTTGGTATATAAAACTGTAACATGTTTGATGGTATATAAGATTGCATGTTTCCATGATGGCTTGTAAGACCATTTCTTGTATGATGGTATTTAAAACCATATCTTGTATGATGGTATTTAAAACCATATCTTGTATGATGGTATATAAGCTGTAGCCTTCATGAGGTTATGTAAGACCATCTCCTGTATGATGGTATTGAAGATTATAGCCTGTTGGATAAAATGTCTATTTCCCAGGTCAACAAAGAAGTGAAAACAATCACACCCACCCAGAATGGATACAGAAGACCATTTTCATCTGCCCATAAAAGACGAATGCCCAGGAATATGTATAATGATCCAAATAGATATAATCAGGTTAGGCAAGATGCAGTATTTATTTTTGTAAATTTTAAATGTTTTATCATTGGAAACATTGAATATGGGCAGTGAACTTTTTTACTCAATTTCTCATTTGTTTAAAGAAAAACATTTTACAGTGCTAATTTTAAAAGTTGATCAGCCATTTTTAAATATTATGATTTAAAATTGATTTGAACTAAGTAATTAAAATCTATTCAACTTAGAAAAAAGTGGTGATTTTGTGTATAATTAGTGTCTGATACAAGTATCTATTTAAAAGAAATGATACAAAAATCTATTGGAATTAAACAATGACTGTGATATTGATTATTTTTCCTGTCAGAAAAACCTTTTTGAGCTAAGTGATGATGAATGTGTGCAACGCCTTAGGCCAGTGAGTGCCTCCATCTTGAAAGAGGGAGACATTCAAAGGTCAAGGCCTCGTTTGTCAGCTATCAATTCCGGGGATGATATTTCTGAGAATCAGAACCAAGGTAAATACCAGTTTCAGTGTTTGTCTTTATTAGGAACATGTTCAAGCTTGGAGTTTTAAAACAATTATTAGCTGTTTAAATGTGTTGATTTTATATTATGAATTATTATTTTGTTGTACTTTAATTATTTTCAGTTTTTGGTGGGATATATTTTCACATGTCATTTTCATGCATTTGTAGCATCAGTTTCTTTCCACTAATTGGTTAAGTGTTTTAAAGCAAATTATTACACACATTTTTATAAATAATATGAAAGTCATTCTATTAAGACTGTTGGTTAAAAAACCAGTTATATTCATTTGTATGTTTATTTTTATAATTCTTAATGTATTTTTTATTCATGCTTTCTTTATATTTCTTGCTAATTTTGTTGTTATGTTTTATTTTTAACTGCAGCTGGTGTTAAAAGCCAAAACTTTATTTTTTTATCAGTGTTTTTGACTCAGAAACAAGAGCGGCCATTGAAGTATGAGACAACTCGCCCTGTGACAGCCAAACAGACATCAGCCAAAGGAAGGAGAAACTCATCTACTGGATTACAGAGGGCTAAAGGTGAAAACAATCAAACCAATCACTCCAATGTGGCAGATCATGTGACAGGTGCAGAACAACCTGGCAACCCAGGGGAGGTAAATGAGAACAAAGGTGAATCCAATGTCCAGGGTCACAAGGGAGATAATGCTGAAGATAGAGAGACTGTTAAAGCAAAGCCACCCATGTCAAGCAAGCCGAAATCAGGTTTTCCTCGCAGGCCGAAATTCATTGATGATTTTTCTAAAGATGAAGAGACAATGAAAAATATTGAAAATGAATTTATGAAAAATGCTATGCTTTTGCAGAAAAAACTGGGCATTAGTGAATCAGGGATGGTTCATTTTGGCTAAAATCATTAGATATTCTTTTGTATCAAGTAGGCTCAAATTTTATGTATTTTTAGAAAAAAAAATGTGATAGTAAATTTTCTTGTAATAAACTATTCAAAAAACAACTTCGATTTAATTTTTTTTTAATAAAAGAATATATTTTTTAAATATATATATTTTAGATTTGCCTGTTATCCCCTTATGAAATGTGGATAAAAGCTTTTCAGGCCTTCTGGTTCTTACTCTAGCTGTCCCCACCACCCATCATTTTGTATGTGTCCCTTGTTTAAATGACGCGGCTTGCATCAAACGCATTGTTTTATTGACTTACTTTTAATACATTGTTGAGTCAATTATTAAAATACAAACAATTTCTGTTTTAAAGACATTGTAGGCAGAGCTTTCCAATACAAAACTTATTGGTTGCCTGTAAGACTGAACAAAGCTATCCGAAGAAAGCCTATTGATACATGGACACCTTTACGCAGAGCTATCAAGATTTTTACCATAGGCATGCTAAAGGTAGAGCAAGAATGAAATTGAAAACCTGTCCATAACATTAACTAAAACTTATCTTTAATATTCAAATAAACACAAAGATTATTATACTCCAGAAATTGAATGTATGCTTGAAGTAATAAATTATTTAATTTATGAAAAACATTAAGTACTAAGGTTACAAATGAGCAAAACAGGTGGCTTGTTGGATAAATGTCAATAATTTATTTAAATCTGAGTATAGAATATAATTAGTGCACAGGCATAAAGATATGATAAAAGACAAAAAAAATTAACTGATACATAAATATACATGATTAAGTACATAGGACGACATTACATACAGTTGTCATTAAATGTGTTTGAATTCCTAGAACACCTGAGATAACTTCATACTGCTATGATTCAAACATTGCATGAAATAAAATATCTTACAAGTGGCAAAAATACATTATTTTTCTTTCATCCTTCACCATATATAAATAATTAAAAAACTGGTTATAGGTTTGTTTAATTGTGTTGATGATTATTACAACATATTGTTTTGGTTTGTTTATGTAATACTTCCTTAATAATTTTCTGTAATGATTCTTACAATCTTCTACAATTTAGAATATTTTTTCAGTACAAACTAATAGATTAAAATCAGTAAAATAGGGAATTCTTGAAGCATTTTAATACATAATATAGAAAATCTAGAATATAATTAGTGGTGTGTCTAGAACAGCAAATCCAGCAACAATGCCACCTTCATCTGTGCCTGATATTTTAGTCCTCATCATGTGACCGCATTCATAGTTCACAACTTCCTCCTCTTCTGACCTGGAAATAGAAAAAAAAATTGATTATAGCCAACACTTACGTAGTAAATAAAACGTCTTGAAATAGACTCCGCTATTCTTTGTGACTACAAGTTTATAAGATTGTTTCTATCTGTAATATATATATATATATATATATATATATATATATATATATATATATATATATATATATATATAAATATATATATAAATATATATATATAAATATATATATATATATATATATATATATATATATATATATATATATATATATACTAGCGGCAATACTAGCACTGCCTGGGTTTTCGGGGAATATACAATTATTTCAATTAAATGTCTATATGCAAAAATGAACGCGTCAGAGAAAATATATAACTCGAAACCTAAACAGAACTATAACCATAATGCCAACCCCATCCCCATACTATCACAAACTTATCCCTTTCCCTACCCCATCCCATTTCATTTTCTCTATCACTACTTATACCTTCACCTATACTTATACTTGAACCTGAACCAACACATACCTGTACCTATACCTAACTGTGAAGAAGTTGGAAATGACCAGGAGTAATAAAAAGATTGTTATTGTCAATCTTTTGAGTGTGGCAAATATGATAACACTCGGCAAAGGAATTTAGGTTTCCATAATTGACAATGAAAAATGCCCGCCTGCCACCACAACTCTTGCCTTTTGTATAATAGATTTAAATAGAATTAACTCAATAACTGGATTCAAACTATGGTAACTTGCTTTTTAGTTCACACAATTTTCTTTCCAAACACAAACCCACTGTTCATCAATAAAGGGAGAGCACTTATAATGACAACACTGAATGTACTTCCTTACCCTATATAAACTCCATAGATCCCCAGCTCACTGACTACAGTGGATAACTCAAATGGCACCCCAGTTTTGACCAAATAATTTTTTTGCTGCCAGGGAAAAATTCTCTGCATCAGGATGTAAGCCTCCCTCTCGCTGGAGTGTTGGGTCAAGAATTGGGTGATGGCCTCACTGTAAAGATTGTGACCTGGAAGCAAATAGGTTCATGAACCACTGAGTGACCTAATGCAGGTCAAGTAACAAAATACTTTTGTCTACTCTAATGGATATAGTAGAAAATAATAATTTGAACAATGCTATTTTTAAAAAATCAATGTGGTTCTTCCCATAATTTAATCTCATAGTTTATCCCACTGTTATGTGATGATAAAGACCTGAGTTTATTGTGTCGGATAAAAATCGATGTGTTAGTCTCAGGTGTGGAGGTCAAGACCCACACCTGACTTGTATGATTCACGACTGCATTTTGTCAGTGCGGACAATAAAAATATTAAGAAGGGTTCGGAAAATGCACAAATGAAACTTTTAAGGTTTGGTACCTCCAAAAAGGTTAAGAACTACTACACTAGACTTTTCAATACTTATTTAATTTGTTTCACTGCATCAACATTTTTTGTTTTCTTTATTCTGATATAAACTGCAATTAAATATAATTCGTTAATAGTAAAGATAATGTATCATATTTATTGTATACACTGTTACAGTGTTATTAACAAACCTGATAATGTTAGGATTGTAGATTCAATATTGAGGTTTATGTAATTGATAAAGAAAGATTGATGTTTATCTTAAATATTTATTTTTGTTAAACTTAAGGATAAAAATGGGCAAAATATCAAAAGGCTTTTAATTGTGGTTTTAACTATACTTCTATGTATTTCAAATCGAATTACAGGAAAAATTAATTATTCACATGTATCAAGGTGATGGCTCTGTAAAATTAGAATTAAATAATGCCTAAGTAAAAGAACCAAATTATGTCCCTTTAATTATTTCCCATGTAATGTGACATAATAAAGCAAGCAAGTTACCTCCTCCTTCTCTTTGTGGCTTTAGGACAAATTTGTCAGGAGTGCTCAAAGCTTTTTTAACTGCTTCATCTCCCTCTGGTACCTGGTCAAACAAGACACAGTTACATTGGTCAAACAAGGCACTGTTACATTGGTCAAACAAGGCACTGTTACATTGGTCAAACAAGGCACTGTTACATTGGTCAAACAAAACACTGGTACATTGGTCAAACAAAACACTGGTACATATGGTCAAACAAGGCACTGTTACATTGGTCAAACAAGGCACTGTTACATTGGTCAAACAAGGCACTGTTACATTGGTCAAACAAAACACTGGTACATTGGTCAAACAAAACACTGGTACATATGGTCAAACAAGGCACTGTTACATTGGTCAAACAAGGCACTGGTACATTGGTCAAACAAGGCACTGTTACATTGGTCAAACAAGACACTGGTACATTGGTCAAACAAAACACTGGTACATTGGTCAAACAAAACACTGGTACCTGGTCAAACAAGGCACTGTTACATTGGTCAAACAAAACACTGGTACCTGGTCAAACAAGGCACTGTTACATTGGTCAAACAAAACACTGGTACCTGGTCAAACAAGGCACTGTTACATTGGTCAAACAAAACACTGGTACATTGGTCAAACAAAACACTGTTACATTGGTCAAACAAAACACTGTTACATTGGTCAAACAAAACACTGGTACATTGGTCAAACAAAACACTGTTACATTGGTCAAACAAAACACTGGTACATTGGTCAAACAAAACACTGTTACATTGGTCAAACAAAACACTGGTACATTGGTCAAACAAAACACTGGTACATTGGTCAAACAAAACACTGGTACATTGGTCAAACAAAACACTGGTACCTGGTCAAACAAAACACTGGTACATTGGTCAAACAAAACACTGGTACATTGGTCAAATATTCTATGGTATTAGGGGAAACAAAATCATCAATGTTGTATTGGTCAAAGTATGATAGGTGTCAAACACAATTTTTTTTTGTTTTTAACACCAGTGAGTAATAATTTGAAATCGGGAACCAAAAAATTACCCCACCCAAACCCAAAAAAAAAAAACCCCAAAAAAAAATTAGAACTGCAACATAATCTTATGGCAAGTAACTAAACGGAAATTTTTAAAAAAATGTAACCCTCAGACAAAGCACAAATAAATGTTTCTCCTCACAAAGTCTAAGGTATATAAGTCCGCAAATGTTGCCCTAATGATTTTAACCACATGAGGGTCTGGAATAAATTTCTCTAGCACTCCAGGCTGTGCAAGCTCCTGTTGGATTTTCTTAGCACCAACCAGCTGGTACTGGATGGAGGGGCATTTGATGCACTTTGATAGCTCTACCAGGAGCCTCCCTTCCCATTCCTGGAAAAAAACCAGATTAGATGTTAAACAGTAGTTCAAACATTATGAGGAGATCACATTGTCTGAATGGTAGATGGTTTTTAATATAGCATTAGATATCATGAAAAGTGAAATATTTTTTAGCTATCTCAAAAAAAGAAACCAATATTTCAATCCAGGTTTTAAGCAAAATAAAAACAACAGAAGAATAGTAATAAGGAGAACTCAAGTATGTGATTATCTTACTGTGTGAATGTTTTACTCTGATGAGGACAGAAGATTAGGATAGTATTTGTTCTGTTAGTTATAACATCTTATGCCTAAAATATTTAGAATTTTAATTAATTTTTATTGACAAGTAATATAGGACCTGATTGTTTTAATAGCAAAAATGCTTCATTGTATTTAAATTGATAATTTGTAGAATAAACATCTCAAATTCTCATATAATTGAATGTCCCTGAGGATATGTAAAGTTTTAGAAAATGAGAATCACCTTGTTAGTTTTGTAGTTCTCTGCTGTGTAGCCATCTCTTAAATAAGACACTGCTACCTCATCCTCATTGCTAGAACATTTTTTTATAAGCAATTAATTGTTTAAAATGCAACACTTTTTTTTAATCAGAAAAATGTTAAATATAAATAATAACTTAATGTTTGAGGAAACCGAAGTGAGAAATGGTTAAAAAAATTGTGTACTAAACAAAAAGACAAGCAACGTTACTATAAAAATGACAGTGTAGACGGGGTCCATCGCCTGTCTTTTCTTCTTCTTCTTCATTCTTAATTTTAGAGTTGGAAGGGATCCCCTCCAACACAATTAAGTAAACTTGTCAAATGGTTATGCACCATTGAGGCCATTGACTCCGATTTTCAGCCTGCTTTTCTTTTTGGATTTGCTTCCATAGCCTTTGTCCAACCAAGAACAAACTACAAGGCAGCAGTTGTTTGCTTATGGAGTTGTCTCTCCTAGAAGAGTGGCTGTCCCCAGATAACAAGCCTCATCTGCCCGAGGGTTCGAACTCGAGACTTTTTTATTTAGTAGCCATGAGCTTTTACTGACTCTACCCCACCTGTCTTTTAATATACAGATAAGGTGTCCTGTTGTCCAGCTCCCTGTTGAGATCTTAAAAAATTAAACAGTTTTGTTTTCACAACAATATCTGTGTATTTGTCTTAAAAGGGCATTGAAAAAACCTTGTAAAAAAGAACTCACATGAACAGCTGATGTTCACTGCCAAGATGGCCTGTGTCGTTAATTTCAGCAAAAGTTCTCCTCAACACCCTAATGTGGGGGTGGGTCTTGTATACATTAAACTCCAGCCATCTTTGATCTATAATATTCCTCTCCGAGCTGCTCACAATGTACAGTATAACTGCACTGGAAGTAAGTTTAAAATAAGAATTAACTATCACAGGAGCTAGCTAATGTTATATATATATAGTTGGATCTAGTCTGTTAGGGGAGTGGCATTAACAATAAAAGAATAATATATCTAAACCACTTGTGATGAAATAGTATGTTTATAATTTATAAATATTTTCATATATTTAAGTTACATAATGAAGAAATAGTTAATTTCAATTAGTATGTTTTATTGCATGACTATTAGCATATTGGCAGATCTGCATGTTTTAGTTGATAGAAGAAAATAATAATTTAAAATACATACTTGGGATTTCTATACAGTTCCCAAGCTTTAATTAAACCTTCAGCAATTTTTGTAGCTGGGATGTTGATTGGGATCTGATATGACAAAAATATAATTAGTAATGTAAATAAATAATAGAAAAAACCAGCATTTTGTTTAATTTTTAAAAAAAAGGATATCAAAATACAAAATGATAAGTAAACAAGTAAATGTTGTTTAGCTTATTTGAAACATATTTTACCTTACAAATATATAATCCGTTATAGATGCTAATATATCATTTTAACCTAAACAGTCATTGATGAAAAACCAAAAGACAACCAGGGATCAGAATTTTAATAAATTATTTACCTGTTTGTTCTCAAAGCTTTTCCCACACATACCAAGTGTTAACCTGTAGAAAAAAAATTACGAAAATGTTTGTAATTCTAAAATTTCTGGAAGTGCAAACTAGTATCCTATTATCATCTACTGTCTTGTGTTATTGTCGTTAAAGTTAGGGTCAATATTAGGGTCAGGGTAAAAGAAACTTCAAGAGCACTTGAACAATCACAGAAGAACACTTATAAATTAGGTATTTTTTCTTCTTCTACTTTGTTTCAGTGTTACAGGGAATCTCCTGCAACACAATTAAGTATTACGTGTCAACTTGACTCCTGCTTTTCTTTTTTGATTTGCTTCCATAGACTTTGTCAAACCAAGAACAAACTACAAGGCAGCAGTTGTTTGATTTTGGAGTTGTCTCTCCTGGAAGAGTTGCTGTCTCCAGCTATTGAGCCTCATCTGCCCTGGGGTTCAAACTCAAGACTTTTTGGGTTTAGCAACCATGGGCTTTTACTGACGACCACGCCAACCCCCTTATTATAAGGTATTTAAATTAGGTATTTAAATTTTATAATCTAAAATCCAGGTATAACATATTTACTGAAAAGGATTTGTAAACTCACAAAAGCTATGACAAAAAATCAAAATGTGAAAAGCTTGTTTTTAAGCGCAGACTAAGAAGACATAGCCAACCTATGGAGGTCTGCCATCTGTTCAGTTAGACCAGCAAAGCTTGAAGAGATGGCATTAAACTCTATCTGCTTGAGTTCTAATCTATCAGCAGAAACTATTTCACCAGCACCAACTGTGTCAAGGCAGTTCATCATGAAGTCATTTCGGAATATTCCAAAATGAAGAGGCTAAAAGTGAAAAAGAAAAGAAATCAAAGTTGTGGAATTTTTAGTTTGTAGATTATCTCCTATAAAAGTGAACATCTATCTTAAAATAATGTTTTAAAAATCTATAAAGGGTAATGAAATTTGTCAACAATGCAGTAAAAAGTTATTTCAATTCTACTATGATGCAAGTTACTATTCACTGGTCTTTGTGTATATTTAGATTTAGGGAAGGTGTGCTCAGCACTTTGCCCAGCAGCCTTTACTTTCCATAACATGAGTTAGGTACCATCAGAGCTGGGTGTACTCAGGAATGTTCTAATGACTTTGACATAGATTCAAACTCAAGACTTTAGGGTTAGCAGCCTAGCGCTCAACCGCTTATAAACCAGTGCAGTCTCAAAATCATCAAAAGAATTAAAGTTAACTGAGTATTTAAATTAAAACAACAAACCTGTATGACACCTTTCTCTCTTACTTTGAGGTAGATGTCCCATAAATTTTTCATAAATTCGTCAACTTTTATAACACTGGAAAATGATCACAAAAGTAAAAATAGTGACAATATAATTGACAGTGTAACTGCTGCACGATTGGTTTTAAAAAAATAAATAATCGGTACTAACTTCTTCAGTGAGGCCTCTAAAAAATTATGGTCCAATGCAACTTTATGCATGAGTCGACTAAAGTGCACCATAGAATCCTTTGCCTGTTGTAGCACAGATGCTGGCACCACACTTGGAAATAGGCTGTAAGGGGCAGGAACTGCTTTCTTTGATCCCACATCATCAGACATGATGCATATACCTTAAAAATTGATAAGGGAAATTTTAACACCTGAAAAATCTTACATAGCATAATTGAAGCTTGAGAGATTTTTAGACAAGTAACATACACAAAAATAAAGATTTAAGGAATCTTATTAAAGTAGAAAAACGCTTTTAAAAATTTGCATGATAGCATGATATCTGATTTTAGAGTGATAAAGAGTGAGAAACCAAAGCTACCAATGCAAACCTCAAAACCAACATCACACAATTCTTATGTATTATAAATGTATATGTTGCTGACTGACCATGGCTTAGGCTCCAATCATTTGCCACATCCAGTATTTCTTCTAATCTCCTTTCTGTCAGGTTAATCTCTTTTACACTGGTTGCCATTTAAATGCTGAAATTAAAGGTCAGTGTATTGGTATTCGTCGCAGGAATTAAAACCACAGATTACATTTACAGTCTCTTCTTAGTCTTTCAACTTTTTGTAGTAAGAGAAAGGGCCAAGTGGGAAAGCATACATTATTAAATACATACATGGCGTTTCTTAGACAGTAGCACTAAAACTACAGTACACTATTCAATAGTAGACTGAGTAGAGTAAGAGTAGAGTTTAAGACGTTAGAGTATTAATTAATAATTATTTATTAAGTTTAAGTAAGAGTTAAAGACGAGTAGACTTCACTAGATTTTAAATTTTAACTAAGTCTTTCTCTAAAAATAAGTGAAGAATATTAATAATTTTATAATTTAATATCACACTGAATCATCGTGACATAGCAATTTTAATTTTTATCTGGTGCTTCCCAGATCGTTATTTTTTTTTAAATAAAAAATTAGATTTGTTTCATTTTAGTACTAAAAAATGAAAGCTAACTTTTATTTATCAGTAGATTTAGAATCGGTAAAATCTTAGTTTAGCGTCGTAAATTCCAACGTAGCTAGTAATGTGCGATGAAGGTAACTAATGAATATTTCTTTCATTTGGCCATATTTATGTCCTATTTTACATAATATAACAGATAATTGAATAACAAATCACAATCCACGACAAAAACAATAAAAATATCCTGGAATAAACTTTAAACTACCCCGTTCGAGACAACAATGAGTAAATACAAGCAGCGGCCATGTTTCAAAAACAATAAATTGTCTATTCGCATGTCTTTTGTGTTGATTTTGTGGTTTAATATGATTGTTTTGTATTGTTTTAATATATGCCTGGGGGTCGTCCATAAATGACGTCACACTCGTAGGGGGGAGGGGGGGGGGTCCGTAATTTTGTGACGAGGGGGAGGGGGGGGGGATCAGATGGTGCGACGTCACACTTTTGCATTTTAAAAAAGCAATGTTAGAAAACAAATTTTAGACGTTATTTTGCGTTTTAGAAAACTGTTTTAATACATTGTAATAACAATTGATTAAAATACTCTATTTTGACAGAGTTCAGACAAGATTTTGGAAAAATATAGCTGTTTAAAAACAATTCAACTGCAATTTTGAGGGGGAGGGGGTTGTAGGCTGAGGTGTGACGTCATTTTAGGGGGGGGATCTGGCTTTTTGTGACGACGTGTGACGAAGGGGAGGGGGAGGTAAAAATCGTCAAAAAAATCGTGACATCATTTATGGATGACCCCTTGTATAGTCATTTTTCTTTTTTTTTTTTAATATAGTTGACATGAATGACTAATACACCTTTTCAGACTTAATAGTGTGCATCCAAGACCACAACAATTTTTGGGAGGTCGAACTTTTGAACACTTTATTTGCAGTAAGCAAATCAATATTAGATCGCTCATAAATGACGTCGCTCTTAAGATAGTTATGACAGCGTGCATTATTACAGAGCAAACATATGAACATATTGTTTCAGATAGAAATTGTGATTTGTGGTGGGGAGAGGTTGAATAGAACTCAGCGATGTGATTTTGGAGACGGGTCAGGTTTTTTTTTCGTGAAAAAAGGGGATGGTTGTGGGAGAAAGACCAGCTGTAGAAGTATGACGCGTCATTCATTGATGATCCATTTTCTCAGTGGGGACGATAGAACTATTAAGAAGGGTCAAGAAATGTAAAAAGCTTGCGAGTCGCATTTCTTGAACCCCACCTTTTTCATTCCCCCACTTAGCACATCGTCACCGAGTTAACACTCGCACGTGACGTCATGTACCGATACCGCCGACCGTTAGGCTAATTTTATAGAAAAAAAAACAACAAGCACTGGCTTAATGACGCTTTTGCGACGTTTAATTTGATTACATAAGTTGGTGTTCATTAAACAGCCCCTAACACATCTATCACTCGTCCATTTAAACGTACGTAGTTATTTCTGGAAGCTAGCTGTCTTGAAACTTTCGGCCCTTTAAAATGTACTAAGCTCTCACCGTATAGAACTAGACTACCCATATTATGCTCCAAAAGAAGCTTGGTGAAAACAGGATGACCGTCCGATTTTGAAGCTGCTCTGCGCTTTATAAAAAGCACAATAAACGATAACATGACACTTATATTAAAGTAAATTATAGTTCTGAATCTTGATACATTAAAAGTGATATTCGGAAATTAAGAGCCAGACAGTCAACATGATATTTCAATTTAAGTCCAAGAAAATAAATTTCCTCAAACGATGGAACATTACTAAATTTTCGCGCAGTTTAGCGAAATTGAATTTAAGTATTTACGTCATCTTACAAAGCGCGATAGCCTACTGGTGCTCTAACGCGGCCCATGCTAATGGCCGTGTTCCTAACGCCCCGCATTAGAAGCGGCTTATTCGTCGGCAGGCATTTGGTGGCAAGCCTTTTTGACGGGGATAATGTGTTGCGGCCGTTTTGCCGAATGTCTTAAACTAGCAGGCTTGCAACATTTGTGATGATTCGTTTTAAGCAAGGTATACGTTTACTAATGCTTATTTATCGTTATTTTGATTGAACAAAGCATTATAGAGGTTCTCCATCAACCACCTAGATATTTTTCCCCGTTCACCTCCTTTCATGAGACCGACACGTCATAAATTGCGGAGCCGCCTGAGTTGACGTCACAAATCTTCACTCACTCCCGTAGCAAATCATATGTGACATCATTTATGGACAACCCCATATCACTCACTTGGGTACTTGATATTGACATTTTGAAAACAAAGGATAACCAAAATGTGTCAGACATGTGGAGACTTGTGATCGACCATAATGACAACACACACTTAAGGGTTGGACTGGCTCATTGTTTTAGATGTTTTACGAGGGAAGCTGGTGGATAATACATTTTGTCTCTCTGTATATATAAATGATGACAAACATTTATTGTTGTCAAAATTAGGGTTAGAGTGAAGCGTAATGTTTTACATTATGACTTGTGACATTGACAACAAAAATATGACGGAGGTTGGGGTTTAATTAAGGTAAAGAGAAGTAAAAAAATGTCATAAGTTACAATAGAATCACTAATTGATGAAAAGAAAAACCTGAAATGAAAATAGTGAACATTAAAACAATAAGAACAAACTCAAACTATATTAATATAGTAATAATATGATCAAATAAACATTAGTAAAAAAACGTGATTTAATACATATATAATGCATCTTACAATGCTTCTAGAATTAATAAAGTTGTTTGTAAGGAAATTCAGTTTTTAAAGAGCAGAATTTAAAAAAAAAATGCTTTGTAATACGGACTATACAACAAGAGAATCATATTTAAATACATTTTCATACGAATAGAAATGAAAGGGAAGCTACTCTAAATAACATTTTCTTAAGATGGCTGCTGTTTTTAATAGCAAATTTACTATCTCGAACAGGGTTGATAAAAGTTAATTTCAGGATGTTTAAATTGATTTAACCATAAATGGTGATCTATTATTCAATTATTTATAATATTTTATCAAGATATACGAAAATATACTCATATTTAATGACATATTCATTAATTCACTCGGTAATCTATCGTTTTGGGTACGTAAAATCGCCCGCGGCTATTTATGTACGAAAACGTTACCTCATTGTCAAGGCTTTAATAGAAGTATATATTGTCATACTTTTGTGTCAAATATTATAGATAAATGAATAATAAACTTAAATCAATGGCTAAATATATCGATATAGGCCAGAAATTAACTTTAAACAGCAGTGTCTGAGAGCAAGATTTGCTATATAAACAGCAGCCATTTGTAAAATAGAGTGGCTTCCCCCTGAATCTGGCGCTTAAAGCTTATAAAAATAAAACAGACAAGATGGCTGCTATAGTAAATGAGCATGGTTGCATCTGTTGGAAACATCGCTAGTCTTCATTTATTACGGAAAAGTTTTAATTCAATTGTTTAAAAACAGGTACATAAATGAATCAAGGAAACTTTTTTGAATTTTTTAAAACATAAATCCTCCTCAAAATGTGAAATAATTATTAAAATTTAAGGAGTCACCTGTTTTTCACATTACAAATCGCGGGCGATTTTACGTACCCAAAACGATAGATTACCATTCACTCTCTCCTACATTACTAGTTTTGGCCGAATTTACGACGCTAAACTAAGATTTTACCTTAGAATCTATATCTAGAATCTAGTTTCCACTTTACAGAATCAAAAGCATATAGAATCTAGATCTAGATAATATAGATCTAGGAGATCAGGTACCAAACCAAGATCCAAATCTAGAACCGAAAGTTAACAATAGTCAATAGCTGGAATCGAAAGTGGTTTGTAGGAGTAACAACCAAAAACAACAAAAACTTTTGATTCGCTCAGAACGCTAGATTTATAGAAATTCATGTATTCGGAGTTATAAAGCCAAAAGTATATAAGGCTAAAGTATTATAATTCTGACTTGTTTTAGATATAATCTAGAATCTACCTAGAGAATATGGTTTTTAAAACTCACCGAATCGACCTAGACTACACTTAGAATTCAATAATCCGTTATTTAATAAGATATTTATCGTTGATTAGATTTTTTAATTTTTTTTGCTTGGGCCTATGCTTTTGGTAATTTAGACTGATCGTTAAAAACGAAACGAAAATAAATATGGCTTTGCTGGCGAAAGGACAAATTTTGTTTTTGTTTTGTATTCCACGTGCTAGAATAATAAATACCATATTTAGAAAGTTAAATGATTATTCTAGCCATGAGAAAAGTAGACATATGCAGAAATTAATATATAAACATAACGCAAAGAAAAAGTAAGTTTAAGTAAAAAAAAAGTTTTTTTTTTACTTTTTACTAGATTCTAAGTGAAGTAAGTGTAGTGTAGTGTACTAGTGTAGAGTAGTAGATCTAGATCTAGATCTAGATTCTAGGGGCCTGGCCTATATGATTAATAACTACTAGATTCTAGATCTAGATCTATTAATTAATAACTTAATAAGTACGAAATATTAATAATTGTAGTAATTGTAGGCCTATGGCTTAAAAAGCAATTTTGTAATCAAGGTAATCTAGTAAACTTCGTAAAGTAAATATGTTTACAATTATTTTTTTTACAGGAAGAAATGGTATCAACCTCACATAGCAGAGGTAAGTTAACAAAAATTCCTCTTATTTTATTTTAATACTGCTTTAGTGATTAGCATCATTAGTCTTACTGTTTTTAAATCAAAATCAAGTTTCATGAAAGATAAGTTCAACAATAAAAATCATTGCTTGTGTAAATAAATAAAATAAAAATCATGGCTCCTGTAAGTGTTTTCCCACTTTCAGCCAACAGAGCTGTTTGCAGCAGGCTACAAACCAGACAAGAAAGGAACAACAGAAGCACAGCGCACTCGTGCACGCCAGTTGGGCCACGTTCTGTATGAGAAAATAACAGCTCTTATCAACACTGGTGAACTCTCAGAAGAACTTCTTGGCAAGCAAGTTCTGATAACATCTGTAAGTTTGAACACAAAAGTCTGGCCTGCCTTTCTACTATTGTGTGGTCTTATTGGTACTATTAAAAGAATATTTTTATATAGGTGAATTTTGTCTTGTTTTTGGCCTTGTTTTGTTGTGTTATATTGCTACGTCAGCTTTTTCCCCATACTAGGATTTTTTATTAATCCATGATTCCTTTTTGTTTATTGTCTTTCATGTCATTTATCTGTGTCAATTTTTGTGCATGTCACAATTTTTTCCAGGTAGAAAAATATAGTACAAGGCTACATAACATAAGAGGCAACTTTTTGTGACTTTTTAAATTAGAGAGTTATGAATCAAACAGTTCTCAAAACACCATGAGTTTCCACTCTTTGTTTACATGTCGTTAAATTTTATTTTTAATTTCTGCCTTGAAATTAAACCAGTGTTAAAAATAATGCTCAGTTTTAAGATTTTAAAAATGTCATTGTTACAAATTCAGGTGAAGATGCTTGACAACTTCAGCCAGGTGCAAGTACATTGGGACTGTCAACGAAGTGACGCAAGTGAAATTGAAGAGCTGTTACAGAGCCTTGCCGGAAAGTTAAGGTTTGTTTTGTTTTTTATACCTTTTACATTTTAATACTGAAGTTTGACCTATGACCTCAACAGCAAAGCATTACTAATCTTTGTCTCACTACCTGCACTTTGTAATATTTTTATATAAGGTTTTTCTTGTTTCATAACAAAAGAAAAGGTACATAGAAACAAGCAAGACATAAAATCTCAGTCTTTTGTGTTTTTTTTTTTAAAAACCAATCTATAAATTAGTTTTTTGTTTAAGAAACAATGAAGTACAGGATTTTTTAGTGGATTGATAATCTGCGGAATTTTTTGTTTTATATTCACGCAGAAGTCAGCTGATTTCTTACCATGTGCTTGGCCGTATCCCACCCATCCAGTTTGTGAAAGACAAAAAAGTCAATGATCTCTCTCTTCTCGATCAAATGTTTGAGATTGCTGACTACGGCCCTGATTACATCCCCTCAGAGGTCAAGGTCAAGCATACAATAGAATGGACAGACAAGAAAGACGATGGATCTGATCGGACTTTGCCCAGATTTTCAAATGACTCCCCGGATGATAACTTAAAACAAAATTTGGTTCCAGAAGACCCAGAATCCAATTCCAATGCGCTGTCCTCGACCTCTGTGTCTGACCAAAGTTCAGACGCAACACAGTGTGTTGATACCTCAGCGCAGGATTATTTTAAAGCCCATGGCCTAAACTTTCGCACAGATCTGTATGGGCTGCAAAGGGAAACACTTTTGAAAAAGGTGCTAGCACAGAGAATAAAAGTTAAATACCAGCCCCCAGACCCATCAGTAGCTAAACTAGACATAGTGGATTTTAAACTGTTCAGTAAAGATCAAGAAAAAATAAATAATAAAAAGGGCAGTGGTAAAGGAAAACAAAGGATGCTAGAAAGAGATGTGGAAGATTTTCAAAACAAAGATGAAAATAATGATAGTTTTACATATGAACATGAAGAGACTTATGATGATTATGATCAGCCCAGGAATGATAAATGATAGTCACTGATTATCTACGACTTGAACTGAGATGCTGATTTAGTTGTAAGACTACCCTGTACAGGTGTAAAATGTCCAGAATTGATACCTGATTATAGCACTGATGTATGTAAAATAAAATAAAATTTATACTTTTCCCCTACAATACTTGTAAAGACTGAAATATTTGGTTATGAATGTAATGTCTAAACTGTTTTAAATTAATTATTTTCTAAAATAAAACATAATTGTTTTTCTTATTGACTGATGGTTAAAAAAAGAACTTATAAATACTGCAGTTATGAGTTAGTAATAAAATACTATGTCCACACTGATATCAATCTTTATCCTCAATTACAAATGAATAAATTGCTTTCTGATTTTAAATGCATACATACTTTTTTTAAAAATCAAGAAGCAATGAAAATAAGAATATTTTTAAAGGGTTTTATCTTCTTCTTCTTCTTCTTGTTGTTGTAGAGATAGTCTAATGTCAATGCCCACACTCCACATCACCAGTCACTGTTGGTGTTAAACTAACTTAAACAAACTGCAGCATATGATTCTCTTTCAACAATCTGTCACACATTTTGCTTGCCCCTTGACAATATTGTGAAACATTTTAAAAGTTTACTGTAAGTGTAATTATTGTAGAACATGTGATAAGGTTTCTAGCCATTTGGTCCTTGGTGGGAAATGTTGGTTATAAAATAAATGGTAGTAAACATGGGACACCTTAGCCTCGTGGTAGAGTTGTAGACTGCTAGTCCAAGCGTCTCGAGTTTGAATCTGTATTCAAGTCAGAGGAATGTCCCTGAGTCCACCCAGCTTTGATAAGTACTGACTTACATTGGATAAAAAAAAGGGGCTCTACTGTACTACACACTACTTCTACTATCTCACATATTCCCTAACAAACCTCCAAGTTCACCTCAACTATCTCCTAGCTATATCTATCTACAGCTGCTTTCTAACACACAGCTGTCCACTACACACACCAATGACCAACTGCTAACTACTACAGCTGATGGTCACCAGTACTGGTCATCATCTTGCATGGCCTACCTATTCTACCTAACCCGTCTGCTTGACCTCTGGTTATTGCACATTTTGTCTTTTCTCTAGCTTGCCACATTGGGCACAGTGCTAACCACACTACACCTGCTAATGCAGAAGTCACAGAAACTGGTGACCGTTAGGGAACTTTATGGTGAACATGGGTTTTTACAGACCAAACCAGAATGTAAAAAAAAGAAACGTTATGTGAAATGAAATAGTTCTAATGACCACAATGGTAGGAGAGTGCAGACTAAGGCAACAGTATATAGATATTTGTACTCTATACATATAAACTGTGCGGCATTGTGCATCACTCACCACGCAATTTTATTTTCCTTTTGTAAAGGGATTTAACCAAGTAAGGATGTTTTTGTCGAAAATATTTAGTTTGGTTGCTTCCCCTTGCATAGACAAATTAAAATGACTAGGTTGATGAAGCCGAAAGTATAAGTGCGATAAAACACTAGTTAATAAACGTAAGCATATTTAAATTTTTAGCAAACCCGTGTTGATGTTAAACAAATTCTTCTTACATAGTGTTGATAATTTTTATTTTCTTCTCGTTATCCGTGACTCGGTTAATATATATATATCTGGTATTTTTGTAATCACATTCTTCAGTATTATCAGCAGAAAAAAAAAACCCACTGATTTTTATTTATTTATGTTTTCTTCTCTGTCACTACTGACATCAAACAAAGTAAAACAAAGTCTAGACCTAACTACTTCTAACTGCTGAACTCTATCCCTTGATAAAATAAATTCTTTATTTGACGTCTTTTGTTGTCGCGGCTTCTAATTTTTTATTTTTTTTTATTTTTTTTTCTTTTTTCTTTTTTTTGTTGTTGTTGTTGTTGTCGGTATCGCCTGTTTGGAGAAACAATTTATAAACTTGTTCAAAATAATGTATTTAACCATTGGACAGCAAGAGGTGGGCCCTGGTTTGGCTGGTCAACCCAATTTCTGCGTTTGTATCAAGGCCAGTCCGCTATGACGTTTCTAGTTCGCACTTTATCGTCAGTAATTGTGTAAAGGAGGCTACTCTCAGCGTCTATTATGTAAGCTGTAGCTGCCCATTTTAGTCCACCATGAGACCATAGTTTCTTTCATGCATCTCTGCCCCCCCCCCCACAGTGGCGTAGCGAGGTCGGGTGTCACCCGGTGCGGCACTTAATAGTGTCACCCCCCCCCCCCCCCCCAGAGGCGTAGCGACCCTTCCCGGGGACAAACTTTCATTTTCGATTTGCACTTCCCTCTCAAACTTTCGATTTGCACCCACCCTCAAACTTTCGATTTGCGACCCCCTCAAACTTTCGATTTGCGACCCCCTCAAACTTTCGATTTGCGACCCCCTCAAACTTTCGATTTGCAGCCCCCCCCCCCCCCCCCCCCACAAACTTTCGATTTGCAACACTCGAATTAATCACTTAATTAAGTGGAATTATAATTTTTCTCTATATATTTTTCTATTTTTTTTCCCACGTTTTCTTTAACTTGCTTTCGCCTCTGTTTGTTTGTTTGTTTGTTTTTCCAATCAAATCTTGCGATTGAAATTTCGGGCACTTCCCAGTTAGCTAGCGCGCTGAAATTTTCAGGGAAGCTTTGTTTTGGATGACAATAGAATATTCAACTGTTATTATTACTAAATTGATCCATGGAAACATTTTATTGATAATTTTATACCCCTATATAATTGTACAAAAAACGTGGGGAAAAAGGGACATAACCCAGTAACTGTAATTTGATGAAAACAAGGTTCGGTACTCTCCCTCTTTTTGCTTACTGAGTAGTTGTCACACGGTATTTGTCTACAAACAACCAGAACGTAACAACTGGTGGCCAGTATGGGGGAGACGATATGGTCGAGTGGTTGGGCACACGATTGCTAACCCACTCGACACGGGTTCAAATCTATGTGTTCTTGTCAGTAACGTATTCACACAACGTGTTTTTTACGAGTTGTCTTTTTACGAGTTGTCTTCGTTTACCCAAAAAAAAAAAGTGAAAAGATAAAATCGATAGCAAGATTTCAATGCAAACAAACAGACAAAGGCTAAAAAGTAGAAAATAATAATCATTAAAAAAGTTTTAAAAAACCCACGTTTTCTGATTGAACTAAAAAGTAGAAAATAAATGCTATACATCACAATAATGCAAGCGATCACTCTACTTTAAGCGATGAAAAACGTGGGGCGCCGTGATTTTCTTACAGTTTCTAATACTGTTGACTCTCTACAAGCTCCCTAATAAAAGTCAATAGTATTATCTAATCAATAGTAATATAACTTTTACTTCGGCGCCCCACGTTTTTCATCGCTTATAGTAGAGTGATCGCTTGCATTATTGTGATGTATAGCATTTATTTTCTACTTTTTAGTTCAATCAGAAAACGTGGGTTTTTAAAAACTTTTAAAATGATTATTATTTGCCTTGGTGTCACCCCCCCCCCCTAAATGGTGTCACCCGGTGCGGTCCGCATCCCCCGACCCCCCCCCCCCCCCCCGCCCGCCTCGCTACGCCACTGCCCCCCCCCCCCCCCCACACACACACATATACCCACCGATCGCAAAAAAACAATTTGGCCTACTACTACCCGTGCCCCCCCCCCCCCCCTCCAATGATGAAAATTATTTGAAATAAGCACCGCTTGTATCGTATGCTCTCATTGCCGACGCTACCTGGGGGGAGAGGTGGGGGCGCAAAATGTTTAATCGCTATTATTAAAAAAGACCTAATAATTAATAATAAGGAGTAGCGATCTTTTGGTAGAACACGGGACGAACTATTAATTTTGCACCCCCACCCCAAAATTAGGTCTATATAGACATATATTTATTCGCGATGGTGAAAATGCAACACCACATCCCTAATTTGGAAAGGTCGGGCGCTTTTTACCAGTCACTTTGCCTTTTTAATTTGGTGTCACATAATTGATGAAGAAAACTATTAAATAAGTTCGTTATTTCAAACGGTTATCTAATTTTAATAGGGCTTGTAAGTATAGTTTTCTCTGGCTTTGAATTAGAAATCTGTCCTGGTGTACAGAGTTTTGTAATGACGGGGTGTTCAAAGTATTGTACTTGTTTGGTAAGTTTTGATGAATCGTTTAGATTTGATAGTAACGGAAGGTTGTTGTTGCTGATATGGTTTCGTAGGTATAAAGTATCGAAGTGTTAAAGTGTCATAGTTTTTATTCGGCTGTTTTTTGTAGTTGAAGGTCTAGTGGAATCTGATTGGTAATAGAGAAATGAGAATGCAGGTGATGAAGTATCGTAGTTCTGGAGTTCGGGAGTATTGATTCTTGTGGTATTAAGGTATCGAATTATATTGACTGTTAAAGTGTAGTAGTAGGCAGAGGCGTAGCGAGGGGGGTGCGGACCGCACCGGGTGACACCATTTAGGGGTTTGAAGTTTGTCCCCGGGAAGAGTCGCTACGCCTCTGGGGGGGGGGGGGGGGGTGACACAATTAAGTGCCGCACCGGGTGACACCCGTCCTCGCTATGCCACTGGTAGTAGGTCCAGTGAAATCGTTGTTGATTGGGAGTAGCGTTTATAGAGCTTGGAGTTAAGGGGGAAGGCTCCGGTAAAAAAAACTTTTTTAATACTCGTTAGAAAACAGTTATTTCTTTACGGCTTTATTAAGATACATCCGCATATGCATTTCCACTAAAAAAATTTTTGAAAAAATCTTGGTAACTATGACAACGGCGGCCATCTTGAAAAATTAACCCCTTCGTAGGTTTTCCACCATTCACAAAATATTACATTTTAAGCCCAATAAACAATCAATTCATAATCTACTTCCATATTTTGGGGTAATCAGCTAAAAATTTTAAGTGCATATCTTCAAACTAATTTTTTATGAATTTTCAAAATTTGTGTCCGTTCAAAACACTAGTTTTAATGCCCCAAAATTCCCCAAAGTTAAGTGTTTTGAACGGACACAAATTTTGAAAATTCATACAAAATTAGTTTGAAGATATGCACTTAAAATTTTTAGCTGATTACCCCAAAATATGGAAGTAGATTATGAATTGATTGTTTCTTGGGCTTAAAATGTAATATTTTATGAATGGTGGAAAACCTACGAAGGGGTTAATTTTTCAAGATGGCCGCCATTGTCATAGTTACCAAGATTTTTTTTTTTAATTTTTTTTGTGGAAATGCATATGCGGATGTATCTTAATAAAGCTGTAAAGAAATAACTGCTTTCTAACGAGTATTAAAAAAGTTTTTTTTTACCGGAGCCTTCCCCCTTAAGCGAGTTGGTGTCGTAGTTCTGGAACATCGAGTCTAGTTATGTTTATGTATCGAAGTTTGATATGTGTTGTGAATATAGTAGAGTATATCGAGTAGTCGAGTTTATCGTAAGTTAGATGATTTCAATTCAGTACGGAACAAAACCGAACATACATACAAAACCGAAAGGTAGGCGTTCTCTAGTTGAAAAATCTTTAGTTTTTTTTTAGGAATCTATATTACTAATTATTACCACTCTTAAAGTATTAATATATAATATTATATAGGATGGAATTTATAACTAACCGTCAACTTTTTTTTTTCAAATTATATTTTAAAAAATGTATTCAATAATTCTAGCGATGTCCATGACAGGTACTCGTGTTAGATTATTTGAAAGGTGTCCCTTTATTTTTTTTTTTTTTTTTTTTTTTTTTTTTTTTTTTTTTTTTTTTTTTTTTTTTTTTTTATGTTTTTTTTTTTGCCTCAGACACGTAATTTATCGCGTCAGTTGTGTGTTCGCTTTAGTATTACAGTTTTCATCATCGGCTTGTGAGGACTGATACAGATTTACAATAGTAATACTTCATTCTTACTTGTAGCCTGCTTTCATTCATTTAAGATGGTTTACTTATACATAGATCTAATACAAAACGTCTAAATATAAAGAAAAAATAAAAATTAAAAACCAACCTGAAAATGCAAATGTGTAATTAAATGATGATTCAATGGATTTTTTTTTTCTCGGCGTGGTGGGCTGAGGGGACGAGGGGGGGGAGGGAGGGGGAATTTGTTTTTTTTAAGTAGAGCTGAAATGAATTTGGGATTACAGAGAATTAAAATGATACAAATTTTAAGCAATCGGAAAAGCTATGTTATTACAATGAGACACGTAAAAGCAAACACTCTTCCCTTTCAAACATCTATATCTATACAGTCCTCAATTAGTTTTTTTTTTTCCTTTTTTTAAAATTTTTTTATTAATTCAATTGTTTTAAACATTTAAATCAGTAATAATTATTTATTTAATAGATTTTACACAGCATCAAAGACATGAACATCAATTGCATATATAATAATCAAATGGAGAAAATAAAATGGCATAAGAACTAGACTAAAATAAGGTGTGCAAACTAGGTTTCTCTTGACTGCTTAGTTTACTGTGCTTTGTCCTTAGCTGAGGAGTCAAAAGTTCACATTGTAGCCACACATGGACAGAAATAGAAACGGCCGTGGGAGAAGTGTCTCTGCAGTACACATACTGATCCATCATTCCAAAACTTTCCATGACATAAAATTGACCCTTGGCAAAGAGGGCACGCTACCTTGAAAAATCCGCCAGTCCGGTTGAGTGGGGGGAAGTGTGTGTGTGTGTGTGTGGGGGGGGGGGGGTGAGGTGTGTATCTCTTTATACCATTCAGGTTGTGCACTTTTAAAAACCTGGGAAACAGAACACTGTTCTAATGTTAATTTACTTCAGGGCTGTTCTAGTGATGTTTAGCTTGAGACCGTCGATATTAATTATGCATCTAGTTTATTTGCTTCATCTGTAGTTCAAATGTTAGTTTCCTGTAAAAGTAGGATGTCAATATTGTGTTTATTTATTATGTTGCTTATATAATGTGTTTGTCCCTAGCCCCCCTGATGTTCAATGTTGCCAGAGTTAGCATGAATTATTTGGGGTTTTCTTTCGAACATCTGTTTCTGTTATTTAGGGGATCCAAAATTTACATTACGACATAGAATGAAAGTGCGGCAGTAAAAGAATGTCATCGAGATTTAATGAAAGTATGTTGTAATAAAGCTACCGTTTTTAGACTTTCAAACAAAACCTACAGTTAAGTATCCAATGGGTAAAATATTTTTTTTCACAAGGTTACATAGTTAATATAAAAGATTTGTTATAATTATTTAGTAATGAAATTTAAAGTGCTTTATTGTGAATCTCAAGCATGTCTTAGTTACACTTGGTTAATTTAGCTATTTTTGTGAAAGTTATTTACCTTGAATAAAATTTTGGTATTTGGATTTTCAAATGGGAGATAATTTGTTGCTTAACTTTACATTCATTTCAAATTCCTGCACCTTAGGTTGTTATTATTTGCTATTGTAAAAATTAAATAGAGCTTAAGATCTAAATTGGTAGTTTTTTTTAGCATTATCAAGTTGAAAGACAAATACATCAGTAGTGTATAGATTGCAATACTTAATGTTAGTAGACATACAGTTGTAAATTAAATATCTAATTAATTGTCTTTTCATAGTTTTCACCCACTCCTAAAGGATTCATAAATGACAATTTTTGGCTGGAATCTATACAATTTATAACACTTTATTTTTAATAAACCAAAAAATCGTTACATAATCACACAATATAGACATTTTGCAATTATAACTAAAGACAGTCAAGCTTAAAGTTCCGTTTTGGAGCTCACCTTGGGAGGTCTGCAGATAGCCCAACACTAAAAGATTTTTTTTTGATTCAGTGGTTTTTTCCAGACTTTTTTTCTTTCGGGAGGGGGGGGGGAGCACTTAAAATTTTATAATGGGAGGGGGAGTGAGTGGAGGGGGGGGCTATGTCGTAAAGTACAAAGTAGACGCGTGCACTTAGCAACAATTTCATAAAATGTGATTACGATTGCAAACTGGAATTGAAGGAATTAGTACATACTTTTGAGACGAAGGAGGCTAGTAAAATTAGATTTTAATTTCTACTTATAACGTGTATGCAATTCATAATAAATAATTATGTCACTTTTAATTAATTGTTTTCTTATACATATGTTTTAGTAATTAATTTGTGTGAAAGGGGGAGTTTTAATAATTTTGCCTAGGGCGCTAAATAACCTGGCGCACACACTGTATGCCCTGTCGCTTTTCTTGTGTCAGGGCAGTGAATATTTGAGGGGTGCATAATTGCAGTCGCGTAGCGAGGTCGGGTGGCACTTTATGGTGTCACCCCCCAGAGGCGTAGCGACCCTTCCCGGGGACAAACTTTCAAACTTTCGATTTGCACCCCCCCCCCTTCAAACTTTCGATTAGCACCTATTAAAAGAATATTTAACACTCGAATTAACCACTTAATTAAGTGGCATTATCATTTTTCTCTATATATTTTGCTATTTTTTGCCTTGGTGTCACCCCCCCCCCCCCCTAAATGGTGTCACCCGGTGCGGTCCGCACCCCCCGCCTCGCTAAGCCTCTGCATAATTAATACAGATGGGGATCTTGGTTGAGAAGTTTTTAAGTTTTTACCAAACAAAGAGAGACTACTCTTTACTTCAAGCAGTTGCTGTTCTTGTTTCCTTATAAAGCGTTTTTACTTTCTAGTATACTTAGCATTGAGAAAGCATTGTAATCATGCACAAAAATCAAATGAGCTTTCAGTATCACATCTTCCTACTTTAAAAGGAATATGAAGGGTGTATTGTAAGCGGTTAAGATATATAAATCGATATTAGGCCAATTTTTTTTACGTTTTACACCTTCTGGAGCCAGGTTATGTTTTTAAATCATGTCCGTCTCTCTCTCTGTGTGTGTGTATGTATGTAAACACGATAGATTGAGTACCGTTTCAGTTAGGGTGACGAAACCTCATAAATAAGTATTAGGCCTATATCAGATTAGTAGTTTTCTATTAACTATCGAGCAATTTTCGGTAACCGGAAGTAGCACTTATTAGGCTGTTTGATGCACATCACGTTTGAGATTTGGGTCTAGAAATATTGACTGAGGGATATTGAATTTATAGAAATAAAAACTATTGAAGCATGATTTCTAATTTTTGTGTTTGCTTATTTACTGATCACAAACATTTTTATTTAAAAAAGTAAAAACAACTCAATAGAGCTGGTAAGTAGGTCACTAACCAGTTCAATGGCTCATGCAGGTTTAATTGAGCCGTAGAACTGGTTGGTGACCTACTTACCAGCCCTATTCTTTTCAGCTGGCGTTCAACCAAATCAACAAAGATAAATCAAATACTTGAAATCATGAGTATTTTATTTGTCACTTTGAGAGAATAAAAAGTAAACTGAAACCAAACAACAGTGAGACAGTCATTAAAATCACATTATGCCGATATGGACAGTATGTAAATGGCACCAAGTGTTACCAGCAAAGTGCAGTAGACAGTCTGGGAATTCCCAGGACATCCCCTGTGAGATTCCACATCATGGAATTCCCGTCCCGCCTAGAGCACACTTCTAAAACAATGCAATATTTCTACACCACACAGTAATTACAATTAAAACTTGTTAATCTGCATCATGTAATGAAAAAAAAAACATTATCTGATCTTTGGATAGCATTTTTTAAAGCAATTTTTTTTAAATGCAGCAATTGAATGCATGTGTATGTATATATGTAAACATATATTCACACATACACATGGTAAATGCCTTCAATTTGAGACAAACATATAATAAAATATATTAATTTAAATATTTCATACACTCACTGTCTTAAGGATAATAATTCACCAACAAGCATTCTATTCAATTTAAAAAATACATTACAGTAACATTAATTTGTGCTTATTAATATGCTAATTATATTGATAAATGCACATTGTGTAGGTTAAATTTTTAATGAGATTCATAGGGTACCCATATTTGGTTTTGAATTCAATATTATTTAAAAACAATTTCTTGTTTCAGAGAAACAACTATACTTAACCCGCTAGAGGTTTCTAGTTTTTTTTACCCACTACGCCATACTTTTTAATCTAACTCAGAAACCAATGAAGAGGGGGTTGATGTGGTGCAAATCAAATAGTGTGTAAAATAATATGCTGCAGAAGACATGCGTCAAATAAAGCAATAAATATCACATTGTGCTAGCTTATTTTGATGAGGAGGTATGAAACACAGGCAGGGCTCATATCAATGTAAAGATCCATTGTAGTAATTTATTACCAATTTCTTATATTTTATTATTAGCACAATAAAGCTATTTTAAATAATTTTGTAAGGTGCCTAAAATTTGCTTCAAAATAAATAAAAATACATTTGCAAACATACAATTTTTAAATTTTTTATTTGTATGTGAATAAAATTTGCTTTAAAATAAAAAATAGGACTAAAAACAGTTTTAAAAATATTTTTGTGAGCGCTTAAATTTGCAATAAGTAAGCCTACATAAAAATAAATTCAACAGGTATCGCAAAAAAGGTTTCACTAATGGATCATTGCAATGTACAGAGCCCCTAGTCAGCATGGCTTTGAGCCAGTAGTATACAGTGTAGGTTTAGACTATGTATACAGTGTAGGTTTAGACAGTCCGATGTATACAGTGTATGTTTAGACAGTCCAATGTATACAGTGTAGGTTTAGACAGTCCAATGTATACAGTGTAGGTTCAGACAGTCCAATGTATACAGTGTAGGTTCAGACAGTCCAATGTATACAGTCTAGGTTTAGACAGTCCAATGTATACAGTGTAGGTTCAGACAGTCCAATGTATACAGTCTAGGTTTAGACAGTCCAATGTATACAGTGTAGGTTCAGACAGTCCAATGTATACAGTAAAATAAAATGATTGTGCTGGCATCATTCAGTCTATGCTTGTATTAGTGGCGTCTGCCAGACTTTTGGTACAAGGAAAATGCTACATTGGTATAATAGTACAAATGGTATAATTGACGATACAAGATGAGATCTATTAACACAATCTGCCTGATATCTTTGGCAGACCATACAAAATGTACCTGATAACAAATATTATACCCACAATAAACTTGATTATTTTAAGAAAATTTCTGAAAAATTGAACATGAAAACAGATAAATTATTTTTAAATATCTACTTAAAATTTTTTAAATAATCTAATATTAAGTTCCCAAATTGATAAAATTAAAAGGATTGACCCATTTTTTTTATAGTAGAAACCAGAGCGTGGTCAATTAAAGTTATTAAACAGGGAATCAATGGTATAATATCTTGGCTAATTAAAGATAAAAATTAGCATCAAGCCTGAGATTAGTTAAAAAATATAATCTGACACTATTGCTACAGTACAATGAAATATTTAAAAATCAAATTTAGACCCACACAAGTTTCAAGAGAATTAAATAGAGTATCTGAAAGAGTGACTAGTTTAAAAAAAAAAAAAGAAAAGGTGGCAACACAATGTAAAAGTGAAACACCCAATATCTGTCCAAAAAGTGGCCAGCGAAAAATAAGTTTGGCCATCTTTTTCTAGTTACCCTTTACCATTATTAAAAAGTCACTGGGAAAAATTACTAAAAAAAAAAGCAAACTGAAAAACATAGAAATGCCCTGTATCATGAATTAAATCTATTTGGGTATCCCAAAATAGTTCATCCACTGTCATGTTTGTTTGACAAAATATACATTTTTTTAGGATTAAATTTACGTAAATATATCATGTAATCACTGAAGCACACATAGTGAATACTTAACACTTTATCAATCATAAAAACAGTCACAAAAATCATTACCAACTGAAATACAAGACTACTAAACTTATTCAAATCTTATTTTGCAGCCAGTTGGCTATTTTTCTGTCCGTATGGCAATATCTTAACAGCTCCCAAAAATGACAGCTTTTGTGATAAATATTACCAGGTATGTAAACTGTGATAGCAATTTATCCTCAGTTATTTTAGTTCAAATTATTTCAATCTGGCCTGGACAGATTTTAACTTTAAAATGACAAGCCAAAACATATGTACCCAATGTATGGATATGGTAAAACCAGATATGTATATATTTGATAGGACTTTCAAAACAGGATTGTAAAATTGGTTCTCTTATTCGATTTTTGATGCTTTTTCATCAAAGCTGTGTTGTTTATATATTTTTTTTCCAACTTGATTAATTGACAAAGTTTTGTCTATATGGACTAGGATGATAAATCTGTATTCAACCTAAAAAAAATTTTTTGGTAGATTTCTTGAACGATATGTAGCCAGATAAAACCCCCACATGATATGGTAATGAGAAATCTCCATTGTGTGCTGTCCAATTTGGCATTACAAAGCCAAGGTTGAGATTTGACTTAAGAGTTTAGATGTCCATTTGAATGCACCTTTAAGCTGAGCTCTCGGAGGATACGACTGTGGCTTCATTGTCCTGATCTGGCGTGCCAGGGTTGGAGTTTGTTGGGCTGGAAGATTTGTGAGATGGGGATGATGGGGAGACAATGCCAGTGGAGGTGGCTGTCGGTTTTGAGCTTTCCTTGGTGGATAAGCTTGGAACCACAGACGGTGTCGGGGAAACGCAGGTGATGTTCGCTGCATCGGCAGACAAGCCCTTGGACGAGGGTGCCAGGTCCTTGCCGGCTGTGGCTGATGAGGATGGTGCGTTGATGCTGGCGGCTGCCGCTGCAGCTGAGGCTAGCGCTGCCCTCCTCAGTTCTCTGGCTTCAGCGACTGAAGTGATGTGGGCTTTGCCGCAGACATGATGGTGATTTTCCCAATCCTTGTGCTGACAAAATGATCCACAGTATCTGGCCACGTTACAACCACTGCAGGTTTCGCTTGCCTTACGACCACAATTCCAGCAACTCTGCAGAAATAAAAATTAAAAAAAAAAAGTTAATTAAATTTTCTTTTTACAAATTTAAACCATCTAATTAGCATCAGGTTACAAGAATTGAATTAAAAGACTTAATTCAAAATTCTAATTAAATTTTAATTACCTCTGCTGATTCCTCTTGATGACTTAGTGTGAGAAGAAGGTCTGAATGTGTCTGCTTCCTGGCTTCATTTATAGCTCTCTCCATCTTCAGCCTTTCAGCGGCCACGAGGTCAGCGGCCTTTTGATCTGCCGCTGACACAGCTTTCTGTAGCTCAAGCATGGCCTGTCTCTTGACATCATTGACAGCTTCTTCTGTTAATGTAAGCATTTATCCAACATTAATTCCTGTATAAAGCCTACATAAAACTGTCTAATTTGTTTTAATTTCAGGAAAGCCGATATAAGAAAGCAAAAAATTGAAGAAATCACTAACATACGGAGAAGAACTAATTACCAACACATTGAATGGTTATTTGGCTGAGATTTAAAAAAGAATTTTGGCTTCTAACCTGCGCGTCGTCTAACTTCACTGACACGTTCTTCTGTCTGGCGAAGAGTAAAAGCCATCACGTCGCCTGAGCGTTTCTTGACGTCTGCATCAATCCCATCAGCCTGCCTGCGAGCCCAGAGAGAGAGCTCCTCCCTATCTCGGACACTTCTCTCTTGTAAAACAGAGAGCGCTCTTTTAGTTTTATCCACCATCCCAATAATGCAGTTTAACATCTGGAGAGAAAAATTTAAATCAGACAATTAATAAACTTTTCGCATTTTAATTTTTTTTTTCTGCTTATATCATAATAGTAGATGAAATTTAGAATTGTTTAAATTTTCTTTTTAAACCACTGCATTAAAATACACAATTAATATACAATATTTCACATTTAAAATTTTGATTTCTTTTAACACAGTGTTATAGTTATAGAAATAATTATAAAAATGTTTTTTAAAAAGCTGCCTAAAATCCCTTACTGTTTCAACGTGTCTCCAATCATCATCTAATCTCTCCATGTGATCCAAAGAATCTGAAGATCTGAAACCTGAAGAGGAAATAAAAACATTTCTTTAAAGATCTTTCTTTTTGGTCAGAAAAACGTAACAATAAACATTACAATAGAAATAAAAAATGATTAGAAGAATAGGTCTAAACTTACTGTAACTGGTGAAATGACGATCTCTCTCCCTTTCAGTTCTCTCTCTCTCCAACTGCTCTCTCTCCATCCTTTCTCTCATCTCTCGAGATTTGCTGATGTCCTCTAGCCTGATTGGTCCAGTGGAGAGGTTAAAGGTTGAACCAGGACTAACACGACTGCTGGACACTGGGCTGATCTGATGGCTACCATGGTGCCTTTTGGCTGGATGTGGTGAGTCAAGATGCAGGTCTAGACCATTCTCTTTAGACCTTAGTAAAAAAATGTCAACTTTATTAATAGTACACAGATAACAAGAAAAATACTATATTAATTTACAGAAGCAAAGGGAAGTCACTCTTAAAAAATAGCTAAAAATAAATATTAACAGTCCAAGTGGAGACATGAATCAAATAGAGCTCTAGAAATTTCTTAAATGGGTAGGTCTAATATTATTTAAATTAATTTAAAAAGTGCTTACTTATCAGGAGAACATCTTTTCCCATTTTCATTGATCTCAGACATGACGGAGTCCTGGGTGTCCAGGGGAGAGTGTGTCGGGTCAAACACAATGTGCTCATTCTGTGTAAGAAACTGCTGTGGTGTCTGCTTGGCCATACGAGCACAGTGAACAAGTTCCCTCTGCAGCAAGGGAAGGTTGGCCTGCAAATGAGCAAAAGTTAAACAATGATTAACTTTTGGTAAGAAGCATTATGTCCCTTGAGGAAACCAACATAAATATTAATATTATATTGTAATGAGTCACTCATTTTTATATTGTTTCTAAATAATATTAAGACTTACAACAATTAAAATATTGGTTTTCCTATATCTACACCTGATATAAAAGCTAGTTTGTTCAACATTGCTACCTCAATCTCAAAATCCAAAAAACAAAACAAAAGAAAAACTAACAAAACAAAAAACACAACTAATGCTGTATTGCATTGCTGGCTTTCTCAAGAGACTTCAATATCTGTACAATAACAATTAGCTGTATCATTAAGTTCTTACCTTAAGGAATGGAATGACAAATGGTCGAAGTGGAAAGTTAGTGGCTTCTTGAAGTTTGGCGTGGAACTCTTCAATGGAAAGGTGAGAGTTCTGAAAAAAGAACAATGGATTTGATAGGTATAAATATTGGATGTATAGCAGTTCTGTTTTATTAGCAATGGAAACAATGTATTTGATAGTTACAAATATTAGATTTATTGATCTTAGGATTAATTAGCTATGGAAACCATGTATTTGATAGTTATAAAATATTAGTTTAATTGATATTAGGATTAATTAGCTTGAAACAAAAATTACAATTACTTGGTGGTTTTGGTACACATGGAAGTATTATATTTCTTTATTTTAACTAAATATTTTATTACAATAAAGATTTAGATATTTTACTAATAAATGATATCCAGATATTGATCTAGATAAAAGGTTCACAAAAAGGAAGAAGAAAATTAATCATAAGAGAACAGCTTACCACTAGACCTAAGACAAGGGTTCGAACCCTTTCTCCAATCTCAGGGGATATATCCGAGCCAAACTGTTGGAGCGTCGTTAAGAACCGTTTGAGTTTGCTGAGCTGTCTGGCACCACAGGCAGGGGGCAGTTGCTGGCCACTGGATGAGTTCATGAGAGAGCCGATCAGAGGGGGGGAAGGAGTGCGACCATTCATTGTGCTGTGTGGAGAGTGACTGCCATTGACACCTGCAGGTATAGCAACAGTATAGGTGTGATTGTGAACCATTATAGATTTAAGGAGCGGGGGGGGGGGGGGGGGGGAAAGGGGGAGGCTAAATTTATCTAAGGCAGATATATGACCAACTGAGCTACTGATGTTGGGTATAAACTTATTTTTAAAAAGTGTGTCTAACTTAAGATTATGTTCATGAGAAATGACTAGAGTATATTGTGATTTGATTTTGTAACTGTTAGGGTAACTTAAACAATTAAGAGTAAAAAAATTTTTGCTTTTAAACTGAACATATGATAAGATTGATGAGAAAAAAAGTAAGTGTGCAAACACATTTTATTTTTAAAAAAATAATTAGATCTATCTTTTTTTCATTTTTAATGTTTTACCTTTTAAACTACTTCTAGATTCTAGATCTAGCTCTAAATCTAAAAATCTGAGTCTAAATTTAATAAAATGCAAGTGTTTTTTTTATTGTTAATTAAAGGCATAAAAAAAAAATCTTAGCTGACAACAATAATTTAATTTACAATAAGACTGAATAAGATCACATTCGTTGAAGGGGTTATATGCCTCTTAGTCTTAGTCTTAATGATAGTACATGAGGTAACAATGTGAAACAAGTTTAAACTTAATTTTTAGGCATAGATCTAGAGCTACTTTAGATTTAGAATAATGTTCCTGATATCAACGACTAAATAACCATTAGACTAAACGAAATAAACGTTCGTTTTAAAACCCTTACCAGATATACTGCTGTTTGAAGAGAGTGGTCTTGTCGCAGGTGGCAACCCTGTCATGTTACCCGTTTTGGGAGAGAGTGTTGCTGGGGGAGTCGGTTTGATATCAGGACTATCCGGCATCGCACACTCCCGGAAATCTGAAAATAAAATTATATTGATAGGCTCGCCGTGTTGACAAATGCAATGATACAGATAAATTCAACTCTTTCACTGTCATAAATTAATACACTATGAAAATTCTGAAGAGTAAATATTTACAAGTCGTCTGCCAGTGTGAATTACGCGGGGAATAAAAAGTAAAACTAGCCAGATTTTGCAGAAATGTGCGGCCATTCTTCATAAATATGCCTAATTATTAGCTTCACTTATTTTAATAACTTCTGTTTAACAAAATAATAAATTTATGATACACGTACGTGTAAGTTGATACGACTTTTTGTATACGTAATTGATAGTAGCAACTCAACCTTAGATCAAACGCAAACAACTTTATTCAATTTTTAATATTTACTTCCGTGCTTGAAATAGAACTATTAAAAAACTTCTCTTTCAGACTAGGCTGTCCTTAACGCAGACGAAGTAGTGTTTCCTTGACCGGCATGACAAAATATAGATCTAGTCTGGTCAGTTTTTTGTCTTTACTTTCTCTAGAGTATATGGTTACTAATCGAATGCTCTGCCACTAGCATACACCAAACCATTCTATAATAAATAAACTAAAAACTAAATACACAGTTATTTTAAAAAACACGATAACGGTAGGACCTACTTTATGTTCAATTATTATTAAGATCTTTAACGAAAAAAAAAAGTTTTTTTTTTTGCCGTAGCCATACAATGTGTTTCCCATGGGTTTTGTTGTGAGCACACGCCAGCTTGACCAAATCACATGAAACACATTAATCTTTCCATGCTTTTGTTTTAACTGCATCAGTAATGGATTTTTAAATTTTTAAATGCTAATCTGTTAGCATTTGTTTGGTCACATGACTACATTGGCGCTACCAGCACATTTCTGATAAATATGAATTTTGCAACACGATACAAGTAAAAAATAAAAGACACATTTAACGTGGAATTTATTTTTTCTTTATTTCTTACTTGCTTCACAATGTACACTCCCCAGTTCTGCTGTTATCAAATAGACTATATTTTTTATATTTTTATTGTTTATCTTGTAGTGAAATAAATCTCATTATATAAACCCCAAGTATAACTTCACAGGTAAGGAAACAACTAAACCTCTCAGAGTTAAAATTGATTCACAGTTTACACTCCCCAGTTCTGCTGTTATCAACTAGACAATTTTTTTCTTCAAATTTTATTGTTAACTTGTAGTATAATAAATCATATTATATAAACCCCCTTGTACATTGAAACGCAGGGGAAACAACTAGACCTTCTCTCAGAATTAAAATTAATGTTGATTCACAATTAACACTTCCTAGTACTGCTGTTAATACTGTTATCAACTAACTAAACTATTTTCCCCCAAATTTTATTGTTTATCTTGTAGTGAAAGAAATCTCATTATATAAACCCCCTTATAACTTGAAAGGCAAGGGAAACAACTAGACCATCTCTCGTAATTAAAATTAATGTTGATTCCGTTTCAATTCCGGTGAAATTTTTAAAAAATTTACAGCCACTCAAAAATTGTCCGCACGTGCACCACACGGCACCCCCCCCCCCCCTCCCCTGCACGCGACAGGTGGAAATCAGTGTGAAAACAGATGAGCTATTAACCGTGGGCGGTCTTTAGGTGCCTGGAATGATAGCACACATCAGGAACCACGTCGCGAAAATAGGCGCTCGGGAGATGGTGTTACTTCCCTTCAGATTGCCCAAATTATATCCGTAAACTCTAGCAGGTATTTACTGGTAAGTGATTAAAAAAAAAGCAGATGGTTTTTCAATGGCTCATAGTGCCCAACTTATAGCAGTAAACAGTTAAGTATTTACAGGGGTGGTGTGTGTGTGTGGGGCACTGCCTCTTCCAGTCCGAAGAAAGTCAACCACCCCCCCCCCCACCTTGGACGACAGAATTAATATTTAATTATGTAGAAATTAAATACTTTAATCCGTTTTGTCGTCCCCCCCCCCCCCGGAGGTTACGTGTATGTGATAGAGCTACATAGATTACAATAGCTGATTATTTTTCGTTGAGTCAGCACCGTTTTGCAAGGAATGTCCCCCTATCCTCGTTTTAGACATTGATTTATTTAAACAATACAAGCAAATACAAAATCTTGAGCATTTTTCTAGATAATCCACCCATGTCAAAATCTTGCCAACGCCACGTTTTGATTGCTTTTGTCATTTTGATTTGCGCGTTAATTAATAAAGTTACATAAAACTAATTGATAGGTTCAGGTTCGTACAGATGAATGTCTACTAAAGTTGAGGGCAGGACAATATCGTATGGTATCGATTTAATTTCCTGCCGGTATCGTTTTCAGTATAACAATACTTAAAACAATGCCAGCGGAAATGAAGTATCGATACTGTTTATTACAGTTTCGATACTTTTATTAGAATTCTAGGTGAGTTTTCCAGAAGATACAAACTATTTTGTATTATGTGTGTGTGTGCCCTGATTGTTTAAAGTGGTGTGTGTGTGTGTGTGTGTGTGTCGTTACTATACAAATATCTAATACTTCGTTTATACCGTGGTGAAGTGTCACCAATATGTGTAGTACTATGTTACGTAGAGTGTTCATGAAGAATTACGAAAACATAAAGTATGTGACTAGCTGGCGCAACTTGTATATGGAGGTGTCATGCATATGTGTAATTAGTGTTATCTTTACAAGGGGTGTTCCATGGGTGAAGATTTCACTTTATATTTGGAACGTCCTCTATATATGAAATGTCCCTTGTATGTGAAATGTCACCTATATATTAAACGCTTTCTTTTCACGGCGCATCACATTTATATTTGTATTGTCATCTGTCTTTCGAGTTTCTCTTATATAGGGATCGTCACCAATATATCAACTCTCACTTTAACCGAAAGTATCACCCATATTAGGAGAGTCAAATATATGTAGTATAAGTTTAATACAGAGTATGACCTTTATATGTAATGTCTATATATGGAGTGGTAACACAGAAGACTACTTAGAGAAATTTAAACTAGAAGGTTGAAGCTGTGAACAACATCATTGCTCACACAGACATTCGTGAGATCTGAGAGAACTCAACGTTAGCCGTTTTCTAAAGACGACTGCAGGTGCCTACCAAGCAGGTAACTTACTGGTGATCATGCAGTAGATAATCAGGTGTGCTTACATGCATATAACCAGGTGTGCTTACATGCAATTAACCAGGTGAATTTACAGGTAACCATCCTGCATATAACCAGGTGTGCTTACGTGCATATAACCAGGTGTGCTTACATGCAATTAACCTGTTGTGCTTACATGCGATTAACCAGGTGTGCTTACATGCAGTTAACCAGGTGAATTTACAGGTAACCATCCTGCATATAACCAGGTGTGCTTACAGGTAATCGTCCTGCATATAACTATTATAACTAGATATGCATATATGCATATACTCAGGTATGCTTACATATAGATAACTATCCTGCATATAACCAGGTGTGCTTACATGAAATTAACCAGGTGTGCTTACATGCATATAACCAGATGTGCTTACATGCATATAACAAGGTGAACTTACAGGTAATCATCGTGCATATAACCAGGTGTGCTTACATGCAATTAACCATGTGTGCTTACATCACATAACCAGATGTGCTTACATGCATATAACCAGGTGAACTTACAGGTAATCATGCTGCAGATATCCGTAGGATAGAAGGCCTCCAAAAGTTTGGAACCATAAAATGCCTTGGAAGCCAGTCTTTTTACTTTGGCTGACTCTCCAAATCTTATAAAATAATCTTCGACAACTTTAGTCCAAATTCTGGCCCTACTGTAGTCCAATTTCGGCAGCTACTTTAGTCCAATTTCTGCCACTTTTATAGTCCAAATTTGTACAGCGAATGTAGTCCTTTTTGTAATGTTAATATCCAGTTTAAATATTTCGTTGTTTGCTAAGTCATTCAAAGTGCGCAATACTAATTTAAGTTCCAAAATATGAGAGGCATCAAGTGTTAATTTAAAGCTACACAACATTAAGTTGTGGAAATATCAAGTTAAAACTGTGTCAATAGTTTCAGCTGCTGTAGAGGGTAAAAAAAAAAAAAAAACGATGATGATACTGGTACTATCTAAGTGGTACTAAAAGCCTTTCTTTCCTTCGGAAGTAACGGTGAATTCACAACGAAACTGAATTGACAGTGAAGAGACTAGTAAAGAGAAACACGTGACTTTTTGTTGACATGATAGTCTCACTCCAGCATCACTCCAATGAGACAAATAGTGGACCGAATAAAAGTGAAAACATTTCTAACAATGAAGTACAAACAATAATTAAGAAAAGTATGATGGACCAAACATAATTTTAATACCGAATGCTATGACCTAGAAAAACACGTCGTGACCTCTGGAAATGTTGACACACAAAAAAAACATATCAAGGGAGACAAGAAGTCCACATTAGGTTGCCAAGAACAACAACTCATTATAGAAACACGGACTGCCATTAATATGCTAATTTTAAAAAACAGTTTAAGAGCGTGGTATGTAATTGTTTTTACATAAGCATCACATTACTTTATTCGCATTAAAGGAACTTAAAAGATACAAAGCTTTTTTTATTTCGAAAAAAAATTATTACATTATTCACATTTACACTATCGGAAAACTTGAATTTTTTGTCATTTTTAAAAAAAAATGACACACCACAAATATCTAATGATTTCATAGATTTTAATCCTTAGCTTTATTCTTAGTAACGTCTTTATTTTTTTAAGGATAAAAACAACACTTATATTCCATCAATATAAAAAACAGCAAGTGATCCAATTAAAGGTGAGAAAAAATAAATTACATATACAACTATATTCACCATCAGGTGAAGATATTCGTCACACATTAAACTAAATAAAAAAAAAAGAGATCAAATCAAATAATCTTCTTTCGGTTGGACGAAACTCCCTCCCACCTCCTCTTACAGCCTCATTCGTCCTCAGCTAACTCAAACACTAGCGGCCGGGGCTTGGTACACAAACAGGGCGAGCGAGAGAGGGAGGGGGGGGGGGGCGATTGCTTGCTCCCCGGGCTAGTGCCAGTGGCAAACATCGTTGAAGAAATTGTTCAAATATCGTCAAAACATTCTTGGACAGGACCAACTGTTTATTCTTCACCCCACCTCCACCCCACACCCAATGGAGATATCTCCCACGATCATTTCCCTTTTCATAAAACTTTCCTCTGCACGAACATATACATATATAGGACTATTATATATATATATATATATATATATATATATATATATATATATATATATATATATATATATATATATATAATAGTCCTGATGATTTTATCCCCTAATACAACTAGGTCTTAGAGATAGATTAACTTTGCTTCTAATGCCCTTCAAACCATCAGATCCAGAAAGGTATCAGAGATGTAACTGTTCACTATCAATACTATCATCTATTGTAGAGCCGTATATTGGTGCCATAATGGAAAGGGTTTGACACTGGTACCATTGGCAGTACTCTCCCTTCTTGGACGTTTCTATTATCCCCCCTACAATGGTGAGCTTTGTAAGACTTGATCCGACTGTCGGATAACACGTGAAGCACTTTCATAAACTCACACAAACTTTCTTTAGAAACTCCCCAAACCTAAATGTCGGTATAATTTTTAAATTTTAATGAAAAGATTTTTTTTTCTCAAAAACAAAATTAGTTTTAATTTTCTTCGGAAATTATACTGTTTAATTTATAAAACCAGCCCCCCCCCCTCCCCAATATTTTTTCATACATCAAACATCTGTCGACAGCCAATATCTGTTACCACCCGCTCACAGCAGCCAAGCATGCATTAATTATAAACCTCGCGAGTGTAGTATGACAGAATATCGAGCAGGATTGTAGTGCGAATAGAATACTGTACTTTTTGAAACGAAAATCTTGATCTAGATCTAGATCTATATTGAAAGCAGAGCTAAATTCGACAAGTCAGTTGAAAGATATTCTTGACAGAATTACCAAATCCAAAGTGACAAAAGTACAGTAGATCTAATGAGTAATCATCAGCTATCAACAACAAAAACAAAACAACAGAAAAGCCGACTAATTAATTGAATTAAAACAAGAAAGAACGTTGAACTTGGAAAGAAAAGAATAGAAATTAAATAGCTAATAGAAACTAAATTTTTTATAAATAGATCTAGCTTTAATTTGGATTTAAATATAATAATAACAACATAATTTTAATATACTACATTGACTTTTTAAACTACAGTCTGAGTAGATATAAAAAATGTAGTAAATTAGATTAGAAACATGAACGGTTGGTTTTTAAAACTAAAATTATAAGCACTTTTCTTAGGAACACAAACTTACAATAACTAACGCAAAGCATGGAATCCGATAGAAATCAACACTGTCCATAGAAGGAAAAAAAAAACAGTGAATTATTTATTAGCTAACTCCAGGTTGTTCGCTAATCTTGAACAAAGCTCGTTGTCTACAATTGACTGTACGGGAAGCAATCACCGTATAACCCACATCGTATGAATGTAAACAGAACACGGGCCGGCAGGGTTACACTTTGGCCCCGCGAGACTCAGCCAACGAAAGACGGCACTGCGCACTGCGCGCGCAGCTCTCCATTCATGATCACGCGCGCAGTCGTTCGCCCCCTTTTCCTCGCGTACTCTCTTCACCGTTACCTTGCCGTTCTCGATACGATTTTTACCCAATTTTACGTACGGCGAACGAAAAAAGCTTTGATATGTAATTTAGGGGAAACTATTCTTAGATAAAAATGTTGTAATTTAAGTTTAAAAGAACATACACGCGTTTTGTTGATTTTCTTCTCTTTTATAATTTTTATTCCGATTAACAAGACCATAAAAAACATGAAACAAAAATATAGTAAAGAAAGATTTTTTTTTAAATGTAAGAGAGGCGGGGATTTTGAGGACGTCAATCATTTACCAACATGACAGCTGGCTATTCTCTTAACTGACAATCCTCCCACTGTATTTTTTGATAATCAGCTGAATATTTACTTTTGCAAAACATAGTAGTGTCCCAAAACCTCAACTACGATAATGAAAAAAAAAATGAATCAAACACTTCAATAATAAAAATGTTCACTATTCACACAATATCCTGATAAATAATTCACGATTTGTGATTGGGGGTCATTTCACATAGTAGGTTCCGTTCATGCCAGAGCATTGCAGACTATTCTTTATGTGATTTTAATTTAATGCCATCATGAAACTGAACAAATATTTCACACTACACACATTTATTATCAAACTGACCTAACCAATTACCTCGTGAGTACGGGCAACAAACTAAACAACGTTAGGGCCTAGCCTTTGGGTGTCCATTTAAATACATTAAAAATTCAAATACAAATGGCCATGCGTCATGTTTTTTTTTTTTTTTTAAACATGACGCGACCCCTATGTACGACGGTAACTTTAACCCCAGCTACATTTACATTTTAAATTACCCTTTCAAAATTCTAAACCCATGTTTTTTCTTTTTTAAAATATGTTTTTTTTTTCTTCAAAAGGTGGCCTCAGCTTTCAAGATGTGCGCATATTTAAAACAAAAGAAAGATGTGCTGTTTGTCAGCTGGTGTCAACGGGCCTGATGGTCCCGGCCCTGACGGTCCCGACCCTGATGGTCCCCACCCTGACACCTCGCCACAGGTGTTGGCGGTGATAAAAAAAAAAGCGACTCGATTATTTTATAATACCCCTATCGGCTCACACGTATGCAGCAGTAGTCGATATTATCTTTGCTTGGTCTCATTATCGCCCCTTTCGTCCCATTAGCCCCGGGCTCGCAACATCTGGGGTCTAGCGTCAGTCAAAACGGTGGAGAAGGGGAAGGGGGAGGGGGATTGTGGTCAGGTGACCTGGTGAACCACAAACTAATAAATACTCACCCCCTCACCACAAACACATACACACTAGTTTATTAAAAGTTCTAGACGGGATTTTAGCATAGTTTACTGTACTCAAAGTACTGTATAAGTATAATGCAGCCTACATTTCTCTATTCTATTACCTTTCACTAGTTTGTAGGTACTTTACTGACTTACCTAACCATGTACACTTATACTGAGTTCATGCACGTGTTTACTGTACTTATTTTATATCATACCATATATTACACAGTACTGTGGTTTACAATACTGTACTGGACAAAACTATGCATAGTTTTTGTTGTATTCTTTTACAGTACGGTGTACGGTGTACGGTGTACGGTGTACGGTGTACGGTGTACGGTGTACGGTGTACGGTGTACGGTGTACGGTGTACGGTGTACGGTGCACAGCACTGCACTGTACTGTACTGTACTGCATTGCACTGCACTGCACTGCACTGCACTGCACTGCACTGCACTGTACTGTACTGTACTGTACTGTACTGTACTGTACTGTACTGTACTGTACTGTACTGTACTGTACTGTACTGTACTGTACTGTACTGTACTGTACTGTACTGTACTGTACTGTACTGTACTGTACTGTACTGTACTGTACTGTACTGTACTGTACTGTACTGTACTGTACTGTACTGTACTGTACTGTACTGTACTGTACTGTACTGTACTGTACTGTACTGTACTGTACTACATTGCATTACATTGGACTGCACTCTTCACTACCCCACTCTGCACTACACTACTCCATACACACATCACTTATTGACGGGAACCACCCATCCGACTACTAACGTTGACCTTGAGGCCCAGCTAATGTGATCCTGTAATGCGCCTACAGGTGGCGATGACGTAAGCGAGCTGACCAACAGACGCGGCGCTGTCAGGCCGGCTGACGTGAGCTGAAACACCTGCTGCACGGAGCAGACGACAGCTGCGGCTAATGAGGTCAGTGGAATATGGCCAGGTTGTGTAACACGTAGATGTACGTCAAGGGGTGAGGGTAGGGGGAGGGAGGGAGTGGCCTTTTCACAGAGGTCAGTCTAAGGCCAGGTATTAGTTTTCGACCATCAGACATGGTGGAGGGGGAAGGGGGGGGGCGGAGAAGTGGTCATTTCAGAGGTCAGTAAGGTCAAGGAACTGGTTTTTAACCATCAGACTTAAGGGAGGGGAGAAGTGGTCATTTTACAGAGGTCAGTCTAAGGCCAGGGATTTGTTTTTGACCATCAGACTTGAGGGGGGGGGGGGGGGCGAGAGAAATGGTCATTTCAGAGAGGTCAGTAAGGCCAAGAATTGGTTTTTGACCATGGGACTAACAGGAAAACAACAATTTTGGTGTAACATTTGACCTTAGACACATTAATCATTCGTTGACCTGGTAATGACCACATTATAAAATGACCACATTATAAAATGACCACATTATAAAATGACCAAATTATAAAAAATATGTTTTAAAAATGTTAATTTACTACAACTCTACTCCCTACCCCCCCTCCCCTCTAAAAAATGATTTTGCTTTGTTCACGATGATACGGTTTTATGAGGCACGTAATTCATTATGAATCTGTTACACTGTTACTCAGCCGGTGTGTATGTGTTGCGGTATTGTGTATGTGTTGTGTGTGTATCAGCCAATGGCCGTTACTTTTTTGGTTGCTGAATGTATAAGCCTCGTCGATGTTTGGATATACAAGGGTTCTATAGTAAAGACAGTGTTTGTCGTAATTGTTTGTTAATTTGAATGTCGTGTCAGATTTGAAATTAAAACACATGAACACAAGCGGCTCCACACATCCACACACTGTGTCACACAGAAAACAAACACACGCTCACACACGCTCACATAAACACACATGATCAGACAAACGAACGCACACATAAACACGCACCCTTACACACACTCACACAAACAACGCTCTCGCATGAACACACGTCAACACACATGATCACACAAACCAAACCCACACATAAACACACACGATCACACGCTAACATATACACACGCACTCATACAAACGAACGCACACAATCACACTCGAACAACACAAGACCCATGTCATCTTTAGCCCGTCCCCCAATTAAATTAAACCACTTATGTGTTGGACCCCTTTTCGCATTCTCCAGTCAACTCTACCCAGACCTGATGCTAATCCTGGATGCTAATCCTAGACGTTAATCCTTTCCATGAAAAAAATAAAACCCTAATCAAACCTACACCACACGAGAAAACCCAATACCCCCCTCCCCCTCTCTCTATACTTAGCAGCGGTCAGCCTATCCATCGCAGTCACAATATTTGTACAACCCCTTCGCCGCTGAAAGACGATCAGACACGTCACGAATGTCCAGCCTCCCTACCCCCCTCCTTCCCAGGTGGGTGGCCGGACCATGCGAATAGCCGGGCCGAACCACCCAGATGAACATAACTAACAACCGGGCATCCCAAGAACCTTAACTCCTCACCTGAATTTCTCCAACGTTTACGAGTTATTTTCTATACCCTTCTTCAAACATCGGGATTTTCCGATTTTATTTTTAAAAAGAAAAAAAAACCCACAGCGTCTATGCTTTTACTATACAGCAGGGCCCGCTACTCGCGTCGATTCAAGGCTATTATTTTGAAATGGATGGGTGAGCGCGAGGGCGTGCAGCGCACCTGTGCGCGAGTGCCAACATCTGGAAATGTGCGCCTGTAGCAGACAGTCTGGTGCCAGCGAGGAATGCGCAGGCCACCAGATACGAGCAATCTGGGGCCCACATGTTACTCGCGGGCTGGGAGATGTAACTGGCGAGAAATATACGTGGGTAAGGGGATATGTAGTGGTGGGGGTGGGTAGGTGGATGGGAGGGGGTAAATGGAAGGAGGGTAGGGGGTGTAAGGTGAGTGAACGAGGGTGAGGTGTTATACAGAGTTATGGAAAAGTTGGTGTGAGTGATATTGTGTAAAGTGTGAAAGATATTTTGTGCGAGTGTGTGTGGTAGTTAAAGCGATTGTACAAAGGAAAGAGAGGGTGAATATGTTAGCTCACAGATAAAATATGACTTATTTAAAGAGCTGAATTTGTAATTAAAATATGATGCTAAGAATAAATTGTAGGTATGAATAATGGAAAAAAATATTTAGCAAACGAAAAGTAGATTTAGATCTCAATAATTATGGAAAGCATATTTGGGAATTAAAGAACTCTAAAAAGAAAACATATATACATGTAAATCAATGGTTAGGAGTGAATAAATACTATATCTTTACTTTAAAGTTTCAAGCTTGTTATTAATGATTTGTTAAAAGACCTTTTTTTAATAGAGTGGAGGTAAACACATTTTAATCGTTTGTTTTAAATGTCTTTTTGATGTGTTTTTGTTTTTACATTTTAAAAGTTTAAGATTGAGAGTTTTCAGTACAGCTATCTTAAACGTAATTTTCAGTACAGCTATCTTAAACGTAATTTTCAGTACAGCTATCTTAAACGTAATTTTTTCAGTACAGCTATCTTAAACATAATTTTCAGTACAGCTATCTTAAACATAATTTTCAGTACAGCTATCTTAAACATAATTTTCAGTACAACTATCTTAAACATAATTGTCAGTATAGTTAATGGAAGTGTTTTAAAAAAAAAAAACAACTAAATAACTAAAAGGTCATTGACCTACGAACTAAATGTATCAAGAACTAGTTCATTACTCGTATTTCAATCACGATGATAGACGAACATGAAATAAGACACATGTGAGAAATCAAAGCAATTGTCTACTGATTACCCTAAGCGTATGATTCGTGCACTATGGAATTACCGGCCAAGATTAACCCCGGGAATTAGGATTTGGTGTTAGGAATATGGTTAGCATTTAGTGTTGGTGGGGGGGGGGGGGGGAATGTGTGTGTTTCTAATTATCCAAAACAATAAATCTAAGCAAAGACGCTTTTGAAAAAAAAACGCAACCAACAACAAATTGTTATATCATGTTATATTAAGGCGGGCTTGTCTTAACTCTACACAAACACAGACACACAGACACACGGACACACGCACGCACACACACACACAACACACGCACACACAGAGAGAGTATACAACAACAATTATTCCCATCCGATAACGTAATATAATATTAAATTTCATAATATACATATCGAATACTATCATGTATTATCCAATTCAATACGTGTATTACCTTGCATAACCTAATCGATGTATATCCTACAGTATTCCGCATTACCAAATACCAAGGATACAATTCCTATACTATTTAACAATCGACCACACATAGAACATAACATCCTATTCTATCCCACACTTTAGTATACATAAAATCAGGGGCGTAGCGAGGGGGGGGGGGGGCGGGGGGGGGGGGGGGTGCGGACCGCACCGGGTGACACCATTTAGGGGG